AGGGTTACTATAGGAATTGAAGACTTGCAGTGTTTTTTAAAGCTGGAGTGCATGATGTGGGTTGGAAGTTACCTGCTGGAGTTTGGCACAGCATGTGTGGGTCTGTGTGAGGGGCTGCTGAAATGCCCCCCATGCTGACAGACCCACTGGGGGCAGAATGGGCACCAGCCCCAAGCCAGGGCTGTGGCAGAGCTGTGACCTCCTGTGGGTCTGCTCCAGCAGGGCCTGCCTGGGTGTTACTCCTGGGTGTTACTCACCTTCCCCACTGGCTACTCACAGGCTGCTCTCTGTGGGGTGGCCTTAAACCATCCCCACTTTAACATCTTTCACTGGATCAGCTGGCTAACTTAATTCTTCCTGGAATTCATTCATAGTATAATATTTCTGGTTTGTAATAATATTTTCTCAGCTTTAAGTCCCCTTTTATCTGTCACACTTAATTTAGCTTTCTGCCTGGGATGTATCTTCTGTAGATCTCAATCTGGAGATGTCAGAATATCCCAATGGATCTGATACTTGTGATTTCTTCCCTTTTGTGTGTGTGTTTATAAATATCTCTAATTTATACTTCTCTGCTACAGCACTGTGCAAACTATAGAGGTGTATTTTTAAAGAAGGCACCACTTATGTGACTTTAAGCCCTGAACCACTACTGTACTTAATTTTTAGATAGTGATTTTGATCTCCTTCCCAGATGTTTTGGGCACAGTAATTATTAGAATTATTTTCATCATTAGCAGAGGACAATTTGTTTAAATTTCAGTTAAAGCTGTACACTTGTGGCATTACTTTTATCACCAGATATTACAATAATAATATTGAAAGATATTAATGCTCTCAGTTGGGCATTACTTGTGCAAAATTTTTTTACCTGGTGCATGACCTGCGAGCATGTCAGAGTCAGAACTTGGTTACCTCTGTAAGAAAAGGATGTACTCACCTGAGAACTCCTGGAGTGTGTTTTGCAGTAGGTATAATTCAGGAAGATGCTCCCATGTTTGCATCTACAAGGAAACAAAGGTATTGTCCACGTTGGTGTGGAGCAGCTCATCAAATCCAACCAACCAGATTAAAAAAACTGTAGTCCTTGGATACTAATATCTACAAGAGTTTTCAAATCACATTTTTCATAGGGAAAATTGAAATTGCATTTCCAAAAAAAATTAGTATGACAGCTCTTCCTAATTTATTTCTTTGCAGTGAATTTTCAGTAAAAATGAAGCGTGCACCAGGGAATGCATAGGCATAGCAAGTGGTAAAATTCCAGGGACCTTTAGAGACTTTCATCTGTCTCTGGTCCCTGGCATATTACAGGTTTGTGGAGATTTGAGGCAGAATTTATTTTATTACTTCTACAGAGCTTCAGACTGAAATCATCCATCATAGCCTATGAGACAAAGGCCTTGACTGAAGCAGGGAACTTGCTGCTGGAGTTTGGTGTGTGACTGCAGAGTGTCCTGGAGTTTGGTGTGTGACTGTAGGATGTCCTGGAGCTTGGTGTGTGACTGCAGAGTGTCCTGGAGCTTGGTGTGTGACTGCAGAGTGTCCTGGAGCTTGGTGTGTGACTGCAGGGTGTCCTGGAGCTTGGTGTGTGACTGCAGAGTGTCCTGGAGCTTGGTGTGTGACTGCAGAGTGTCCTGGAGCTTGGTGTGTGGCTGCAGGATGTCCTGGAGCTTGGTGTGTGACTGCAGGATGTCCTGGAGCTTGGTGTGTGACTGCAGGATGTCCTGGAGCTTGGTGTGTGACTGCAGAGTGTCCTGGAGCTTGGTGTGTGACTGCAGGATGTCCTGGAGCTTGGTGTGTGACTGCAGAGTGTCCTGGAGCTTGGTGTGTGACTGCAGGATGTCCTGGAGTTTGGTGTGTGGCTGCAGAGTGTCCTGGAGCTTGGTGTGTGGCTGCAGAGCAGGGGCTGCAGGAATTGCTGCCACGAGGGGAGGGGAGGGATCTGCCTGCCCCTCCTTCAGCCCAGGCACTAATGATGCCTCACTTCAGCAGGCAGCCATCTCATTATCTCTGCCAAGTCTCCTCTGCCCTTTTCCTTTCCCGTTCTTCTTTCTCCAAGTTTAGCAAGTAATTAAAAGAGTACAGTGGCTGAGGAGTGAAAAGGGAATTTTTCCAAATGCTGTTCCTTGTAAAGTGTAATACATCGCCCACACCTCCCAGGGCAGTGATTGAAGATCTCCTCACATTTGTCTTACTTGAGATTTAAGCAAAATCATCTGCTGAGCATTTCAGTCTATCCATGTGCATTACAATCCATCCAGGCTCCCTGAAAAGAAAAATGGGAAAATAAGACGTGGTTAATGTCCCGGGCTTTATGTGGAGAGCAGAGATTTCACATCGGGCATTAGAGGCAGAGGCCCCAGTCCATCTCCTGACTACACAGAGCTAATTAGCATTGAGAGCCCGTCCTTTTGTTGGATTAGCCCGGCCTTGGAAGAGCTCTGGGCTGGAGCAGCAGTGCAGGGAGCTGGGGCTGCCTGGCTGTGGCACTGCACTGTGTCCTGGCAGGGCAGGGGCTCCGTTTGGAAGCCCCCCAAAAGCCAAGCCTTGCTTTGGCATAGCCACAGGTGAACAGAAGTTGTGCAGAGCTGCTCCTCACAACCACTGTCTCTCCACTTTACTCTTCCTGTTCCTGCAGTACCATATGGAAGTAAGGAAATTACTTTGCTCTCTGAAGAAAGGAAGAAGAAACAAGTATTTTTATGTAGCAAAAATGTTTGTATTAACATGTAGTTTGAAGACCTGCACAGCACAGAGCAGATCTGCTTCAGTTTCTCAGCTCTGCTGTATGAAGCAATCACGAGGCCAATCCTACACCTGTATCCAGGCAGCTGATAAATCTCCTATTATTAACTTCACCTTTTTGATTTTTTTTTTAACATACATAATTCTGGCATCTAAACAACTCCTCTGCCTTTATTGAGTTTGACATACTGCAATTTCTCTCAAAATTAAGGCTTTGGGATCCTTGTTCACATACCAGGTTTCAACAAAAGGCTTTATAAAACAGCTGGCTTTAAAAGCTGAGTGATTGTCAGATAAGAAATGATTTGTGCTTGAAACAGTCATAGAAGGTGAAGTTAGTAGTGACTCATTTTCTGGTTATGCCAAAAAATATTTCTGCAAATTACTGAAATCAAAAAAATTTAGCATTTAATCTTTATTCACATTACTGAGACTGGTTTTTCTGTTGAATAACTGCTGGATACTATTGCAAACAAAAGACTTGCTTTTTAAAATGACTTTAACATAAAATACAAATTTCTTGTGTTTGAAAAACCATGTTTCCTGTCTTCCTTGTGCCTCTGTATATCATCTTTGCAGATGCTGGATTTTAGTGAGGGATAAATAGATAACGTGATAAACAAGTATACAAAAGGCTACATGAACTTTTAAATCTAGTATATTTTAATTTCCTTTTTCTGTGTTTTTACTGAGAAACCAAAATGATGAAAATGCAGTGGATGTTCTGTGGATTAGGCCTGGCTGTAGGTGACAGGTCTGAAACTGGGTGTAGGTAGGAGGTGCTACTGAGCAGGATGCTTTGTATTAATCTTTGTCCTAAAATTAGTCAGGGGTTTTTATGAGCAGTCTGAAAGAAAACGTAAATAGGGAGAGAGGGAGAGATTTGAAAGCAGAGATGTGCACTGGAAAAAAAAAGATGGAGGAAATCCATTTTATTCATTATGTACAGCTGTAAACTGGGAATAAAATATTTTAGGCCAGGCTTGCCTGAATGCACTAAAAGAAGTGAAGCTGCTGAAAAGCCTGTGGAAGGCACGAGCACATCATCATCATCCTCATGAGTTCTGGCCAACAGTCTGGGCTGCAGAGGACAGTGCCTGGCCTCCAGGTGTGCAGGGATGTGCTGCAGCAGTGGCAGGGCTGTTCTGGTGGCTGTCCCCAGGGTGGAACACTGCACTGTGCCCAAGGGTGCTGCTCACAGCTCACAAGTGGCACGGCGGCTCACAGCTTTGGGCAGCTTCGTTCCCAGAGAAGGCCAGAGAGTTCCAGTTATTCATGTTTGTGTTTGAAAATAGCAAAGTAGAAGCAGAAGTGCTGCTGGAGTAGGGGGAAAGCAATGAGTAAGGCAGCGTTGAAGGCTGTCACAGTTACCATGGCAACTCCTTGGCCACCGGTCGGGATGCCATCCCTGTTTATGTAACCATCACAGAACATATGCCACCACCACTAATTAAGCCAAGGTTGAGCCCAGAACCTCGAGATCTGCCGTACCTCTCTTTTTTTCTGTATAAATTGCAGGGTTAAGCACTACAGGGAGCGTGGGGTCTGCTGTGTGACCATCCTGGGGACACCTGGCATCACCCTCCCCTCCTGGGTAGGAGGTGGCAGCAGGGCCAGGCTGTGCTCCTGAGCAATTCCCTCAGGCACTGGAATGTGCTGGTGTGTCCTGGGCAGCCCCAGGAGCTCAGAGGGAGCAGGGACAGAGCTTCACTGCTGCTGTGCAGCTTGGTGCTGCTGCTGTGGCTGTTGTCTCACACTGGTTCTTGTTATAAACAATTTACTTCCAAATGCCACAGTGTTGCACATGGCAGGAATAAGCCTCCCTCAAGACCCTGCAAGAGAGCAGGTAATAGCAGCCTGTCCCATTTCACTGCAATGGCAGTGACAAAAGGTAATTGCCCTGGGCTTGGTGTGGTTCCTGGTTGGGCTTGCAGCAGCCCAGTTTGCTAATAAAGTATTCTGTCATAAAAATCTCGTTTGAAAGGCAAGGAATTCAGATGAGTGTGGTTCTGCTTTTACCTTCAGACCCCTGTGGACTGGTATTGAGTCATCTCAGCAGTACAAGAGCAGAAAATTCACGTTGTTTTTTCTGGCTACAAAAGGCTTTGCATTCTCAGGATTCTGTCAAGCACAAGTAGCAAAATTTGTGTCTGGCAATCAACTCCTTTAGGAAAACATTTCAATCTATAAAGAAGAACTAAAGAAAGAGAATTGAATGTTGGTGGTGATTTTCTTTCTCTTTCCTTTGCTAGAGCTCGTCTGCTGTGCTTCAGCTTTGTTGTTTCCTGCTGTGTCCTGCTCCAGGAGCGAGCGCTGGCCGGGCTGCGAGTTCGGCATCCCCAGGTACGATCCGCAGGGGCTGCGGGCCGGCCCGAGCCGGGCTGGGCTCAGCCCTGCGGCTCTGCTGGGCCTCCTGGGGCTGGGCTGGGCCAGGCTCAGCCCTGCGTCCCCGAGGAGCCACCTCTGGTGTCGGGCTGGGCCGGGCTCAGCCCTGCGGCACTGGGGAGCCGCCTCTGGGGCTGGGCTCAGCTCTGCGGCTGTGCTGGGCCACCTCTGGTGCCGGGCTGGGCTGAACTGAACCCTGTGGCTCCTCGGGGCCACCTCTGGTGCGGGGCTGGGCTGGCCTCAGCCCTACAGCTCTGAGGAGCCACTTCCTGGTGTTGGGCTGGGCTCAACTCAGCGGCCCTGAGGAGCCGCCTCTGGTGCCGGACTGGGTTGGGCTGAACCCTGCGGCTCTGAGGAGCCGCCTCTGGTGTTAGGCTGGGCTCAGCCCTGCGGCCCTGAGCCCACCTCTGGTGTTAGGCTGGGCTCAGCCCTGCGGCCCTGAGAGCCGCCTGTGGTGCTGGGCTGGCCGCATGCAGCTGCCTGCCCTGCCGGCTCTGCTGCCTGCTCTGCCTGGAGCAGCCCATTCAGGTTCATGCTTCCCCTTACTCCTCCTTCAGCACTGGCTAAAAATTATAGTGCTTTACACACTTGATAGGTATAAACATCTGTCTGTGAAAATGCAGGCTTTTTCTTTTCTCATGGAGTAAATTGAGCAAATTCCCCAGCTGCAAAAACCAGTGATTGACTGTAGAGATAAAAACTGACACAGGATTTCTGTTGCATTTCCTTTCTGATTCTGTCCTTGATTGTATTTAATGATGCCTTCACTGCATAGTTTTCCATGGTGGATTATTTTAAAGTATGGAATCAGATTTTGGGAAACTAAAATAAATTACTGGGGTTTTGGTGGGGTTTTTTTCCTGCCCTACATCTTGTTTCTTTTGGTAGGCTAAAAAGCTGATTACTGACTGTGGGATACCCCGGGTTTGGCTGTTAGTCCTTTTCTGTCCCCATGGAGGGAAAGGGCTGCCCACAGAGCCCCCACCATGTGCCTGGAACACTGGGGTGTTGTGGGCTGGCAGGCACACCACTTAATCATCAGAATAAGGAAAAAGTCAATTCTTATTATGTATGCTAAAAGCATCCAATGCCAGTACCTCCTAATTCCTTTTCTGAATTTCATCTATGCTGGTGCTTTTTATCCCTAATAACATTCTTATCAGTGGTGGCTTGCCACTTTATGGGAATGGATTTTAGGCAAAGCATAAGTAGAATAAGTAAAGAAATTATCTGTTGTAAACTTCAACACTAGTAAACATTAATATCTTTAACCTTTTGACTTGGAGCTCATCATTCATTTCATTGCTCTGGCTTACGACTGCAGATTAAAATTTCTTGCATTCATCTTGCTTGGTGAAGTAGCTTATTGGGATGAATAAATGACACCCTAATTAGAAGAGTAGCCTGAGTGAGAGTAAGCTGCTGGAACCAGCTTTGATGGTCAAAAAATTACCTGTAGCTAGTTTCTCAAGATTATCAAAGAGGCCCTCAAATTAGAATGTCTGTCTTTGATCATAGATGTGAGGAATGAGGCAAAATGAGTGCACCAAGCAGATGGCAGGGGGAGGAGATGGTTGCTGTGGAATGGAAAACTGGAGGAGTTTTTACAAAGATTCAGGCCCTTTCCAGGCATTGCTCTTCCACATAGTGAATGAGACAGCAGTATAGGGCTCATTTTTATTTATATTTTCCACCAAAAAATAGTAATGTATGTGTCTTCAAAAGTTAAATTGATTAGGTTATTTTTAAAGAAAAATTCCTCTTCTCTCATTCCTCTGCAACCTTACCCTGATTTTTCTAGTCTGTAGTGTGCCAAGCTTCAAACAGTACTAATCTTTAGTAATCTCTTTCCACCTGGCCTCCTCACCTGGCTGATTCCCACTCCTGGCCTGGCTGTGGGTTTGTCCTGCAGGACCTGTGGGTGTGGCACAGCCCCTTGGCCCAGACACTGGCAGGGTCAAACATATGAAGGCACAAAAGGTACAAAGGGGATGGCCCAGGACTGAGTGACAAGTCTGGGACAGTGACAAAGTGTGGGAGGAGGAGAGGGAGGCCTGACCCTACGTGGGAGATGGTGGCATCTCAGTGCTCCTGCACCCTGGGGTGATTTTGCTGGCTCAAGGTGAAACCAGGAAAAGCAGGATCTGGTAAGAGGAGCAGCAGTCAGGTCCAGCCCCCAGCAGTGCCTGCCCTCACCTGCCCAGGCTGCTCCAGTGGCCAGCACAGGAACCATCTGCTAATGAGCAAATCCTCTTCTCCACTGAAGGGGTTAATGCAGCTTTCAGACTCTGAAATTGGGAGCTTTGGGTTCCCCCCACCTTGTACAACTGTCATGGCTCAGCCCATGTACAAATGTCTGCTTGTTCCTCTGAATCCACTGACCCCTTGATCTCAGTGCCAGCTTCTTTCAGGAAGTGTTTTATGTGGAATAATTTTCTTTTTGGAGATGTAAATATGCTGCATTGGGTTTATTGCTTTTTTTTTTGAGATAGACACTAAATGGGAACACCCAGTCTGTCTTCTTTATGTGACAGATCATTTAATATACCATTACATTATTTTATTTGTCTCAATTCTGAACTAAACTATCCTAATCTTTTTGTTTCACTGAAGGGATGAAAAGCTTTCCATATTAAAATATTTTTGTGGCTGTTTTATGCAGCATTTCTTCCTGAGAAGTCATAAATAGAACTGAGTGCAATACTCAGTAAATCATGTCGTTGATTTTCTCACACAGAAAGCATGTAATCTGCTGCTTGCCTGGCCTTTGCTGTGACACCATTTGCATGCCCAGCCATTAGGAATTGGAGAGAACTTTTAAAAGTTTAAAATAAAATTGTGGCATTTCTCTTTTGGTCATTGGTTTGTGGTTTGGTAGGAAGAGCAGGTTTCCTTCCCAGAAGTGATGATGAAGAGCAGGTGCCTTCACCATGTGCTGTACTGATGCCTGGTCCTGATAAGGGGCTGTAATTTTGCACAGCTCAGCCACCTGGTTCCTGAATTTCTCCACAATTCTTGGCTCTGCACAGTCCAGCCCTGCTGTGCTGTTGCTGTAATTTATGGGTTATTTTTAATACCTCATTTTTTTATAATGGCTCGTGGTGATTTATTTTTAAACTTAATCCTGGGAAGTCTTTATTTAATGACTCCTGAGGTTCCCAGGGGGGACTGGGACCACTGGAGGGTGCCCCCTGTGCTGCAGCCTTGGTGTTGTAGCTGATCCTGCCCTGGCTGTGAGCCAGCCCCTCCCTCCTCAGTTACCTGCCCTGACACTTCCCTGGGCCTTTGGGTCCTGTTTAGTCACTTCTTGTCCATCCTTTCCAATGCTAGTTTGTATTTTGCTATCCACAAGTGATTTGCTAAACTGAAATGGGCGTTTTGGGGCGTTTTGGGGGCTGGCACTTGTGTGTTTTGCTGCCTCAGGTGTTCAGCACTCAGATCTCTGGAGACTTGCAGGAGTGCAAGGGAGAGAGGCTGAAGCAAACAGAGGTTGCAGAATTGCTGGACTCCACAATCCTGGAGTGATCCACCCTGATTTCCTTCTCCACCTCTGCTCAGCACAGGATAACCACAGCTGTTCCCAGGTCTCTGACTATGAGAGCACTATAATGTTTCTCAGGTATTGCTTTTTTTGTTTATTGTGAGCAGCCTCTGGAGAGATTTGGTAAAGTTCATTCTTCTCCACGAGTGTTTGCATGTGCTTAAACAAAAGGAAAAAGATCAAAGGGCAGAATTTCAAGTGAGCCCAGGAAGGGTAAATCAAAGATAATTAGATTGGTCAAGATACACTTATACAGGTGCACTTCTAAAATGCTGTGAAGGCCTTAATTCTCATAGTTTTCTTTAAATAAAGTGGGGAGAAACTGAAATGCACTGGAATTGAGGATGCTTTTTCGAAATTATAATTATTGTGCTTTTTTTCCTGTCAGCTGATATATACACCCATAATTTGCTGCTAAATCTTAGAATGTTGTACAGCCATTTTCAGAAAGCAAACAATTTATAGTTTGGCTTACCTCATTTTTTTAAAGTAGAAAATAAAATCAATTTTCCATGTAAATAAAAAAGTATTCCTAAAGAATATACTGTACTGCTGTGTCTGAGTGATCATCATTATAAAAATTTATATATGTCTAAATGGACCAAATAAATTTAAATTTTTATTAATGCTAAATTATTATTTCTTTTTCCAAAAGGAAAAAAATCTCTAGTTTAGAATGTCAAGAATTCTTATTATTGGAACACATAAGAGTCCCTTTTCAAATACCTTCCTTGGCTGGCCCCTCAGCACCAAAGGGCAGAGCTTGGCCTTATTACAGCTCTGTGTGTTCCAGTGTGGTGGTGCAGAATCCATTCAGAGTACCTGGGCACATCCTGAGGATATTCCTTGCCTTTTCCTTGCTCTGTGGCATTATCTCTTTGGGTTAGGTAAATTGCAAAGAAATGCCTGTTTTCTTCTGAAGCATCACAGATTGTCTAGCCCTGGGCAGGTTTTTTCTCCAGTTCGTTGGTTATTTCCATGTCAGGTTTTATCCTTGCAAGTTTTAGGGAGGAAAAAAATCACATTTTATGGTTTTCCTTCACTTACTTAGTATTTTGAAATACTTATGTAATTTGAGCTCTTATTAAAGGAGAGAAAATACAGTGGGAAACATTAAAACAGGAAAAAAAACCTATCTGCAGCAAGATAAAACTTCTTTTTTTACAAAAGTGGTAATGCCCAGCATTTATGGAAATGTCCATCTGTGCTCTCTGCCAGAGTCAGAGCTCTGTCTTGGTACTGCAGTGAGCTGATATTTAGCAAATATCCTTCACTTTGGGGAAAAGTAGTGCCAGCCCATGGTGCTTCTTGCATTCTTTAGTTCCATGGCTTTTCCTGGCACAGGCTGAGTGAGGGGAGTGCTGGACACTCCCTGGGAGCCTCCCCACAGCCACTGCCCCCCAGGCAGGACCTGCACAAGGGTCAGCTTTTAAAACAGTCTCTTGAAATGTTTATGATTGCATTAAAATTTAAAAGAAACAGAAATGAAATCCTGGCAGAGAATAGCCATCCCTTTTTCCCTGCTGTGTGAGACCTGCACTGTTGTTTATGATGATCACTGACTGTCCAGATGCCTTTAAGTGGTTCAGACAAACCACAAAGCTGTGGTGGTTTTGTGGCCTTTGGGCACTCCCATATAGGAAGCCCAGGCTGAATTCCCACTGCTGATTTTTTCAGTCTGAGGACAGGCCTGGCAGTGGGGAGAGGTTTGTGGTTGTGCAGCAGCCCTGACTGGACTGGTGCCCAAGAATGCTGATCAATGCAGTTTATTCTGCAGCATAAAAATTGCAGCCCCATTGTCAGGGCCAGCAGCACTAAAGGTAAATGGGTTTTCCCTGGAGGAGGACAAACCAAAGGAGCCCTGGTGATCCCAGAGGAGAGCAGAGGGTGCTGGTCCAGCTCAGGAGAGCCCCAGCCTGTCAGTGGGGGGAGATCTCTGCAGCACACAGCATTGCAAGCACATGTCTAATAGGTGCATTCATTTTCATATGCTCTTCATTGAGCAGGCCTGATTAATTAGTGCGTGTCACCATCTGGTACTTACAGAGACTATTCATTTTTAAAATGTTGAAATTGTAGGGAATGTTGCACACCAATTAAGTTCTTTTTAATTGGATTATTTTAGTATAAAGTATTACTGGAGAAGGCCTTCATTGTGATTCAGCCAGCATGCATCCAAAGGAGACCTGCCAGCCTGAAATTACCTAGAACAAAGGCAAAATGCCTGAAATGCATGTTTATTACTATCTTCATGCACTCAGCAAAGATGATGTCAACAAATAAAAGCTCCACAGAGACATTTCTGCATGGCTCTGCAAGGTTCCTGACACGAGGGTATCTCAGCTGATCCCTGCTTCATCTTTGCACTGCAACTCCAGATCTGTCATCTTCTCCCTCTGACCTGAAAACTGAAATATGCTTTTGCCTTCCTGACTGCTTGATACCAACTCAACAGGGCCAGGCTGAGCCCTCCTGTGCACAGCTGTGTACCTGCTGGAATGAGGGGCATTAGTCTCACATACACAAAGAATGATTTGGCCTTTAAGGTTGATAAATAATCTGTGCTGACTCAGGCATTTAGTGAATGAAGTGTCACGATCTGCTGTTGGGAACAGAAGTTGTCTGTCTGTGCCTGCTCCTGACACTGACTCACTGCGTGAATTTTAGTTCCTGAACGTCACTGCACTGCAGTGTTTCCCTCTATAAATTGTGAATAGTTCTGTTTACCAACTTACATAAATGGCTTTGAGATGCAGGGATGAAATGCAGACTGCTGATGTCACATATTTGCTATTAATACTTTGTTTACAAGTCTGATGCTGTTTTGTAAGTAACATCTTGTCATTGCCTTGATTTTGCGTGGATTGAGCATCTTTAAATAAGTTTTGTCATCTGAACTACTGATTTCAATAGAGCCAGGAGCTCTGCAGGGTGCACATTCCTGTTCCTTAGCAGGCACATGGAGTGTCAGTGGAAGCAGGGAAGGTAGGGAAGAAAAGACACCTAGTCACCTGCAGCTGGAGAGATCTGAGGTGTGACTGCCTGGATCTCTCCTTGCCCTGCTTTGTTTTGGAGGTAGTGTAGGAATCCAGCAATGTCAGGGTGATTTTTTCCTTGTCTTTGTGTGTATTTTCAGTCCCTTCGATGGCCTCTGCTGCCCCCTGCCAAGCTGCAGCTGGTGACAGCCATGGAAGCAGCAGCCTACTGAAAGATTTCATTTCTCTTATCACTCCTAATTATTCTCACCATAATTACCACGCATGATAGAGAATCTGTAGTTGAAAAAGGCATTCTTTTTAAAGGAGAGGAAAGCAGCAGAATGATTGCTTTTAGTGGTCCAGCAAGGAAGAAACTGACTTTTTTTTAGAATGCAAATGCTTGCTTCAGCATATAAAGGTCACTGTGGATTTAATTTGAAATAGCGTAGGAGTGCTTCTGATTTCAAAGTACAAAAGTAGCACAGTGTTGGAATTGTTTTGGTTGTTTTCTTAGGATCCATTTCCTCTGGTTGGAAGGTGGCTGTTTCCTCTGTGGTGCAGCTGCAGGCAGTGTCAGGGCCTGTGACAGGAACTGCTCGTCCTGCTGTGCCCGAGCCAGTTGCAAACCCAGCTGGGGTTCACAGACCTGCAGTCAGTGGCTCTTCTGTTCCAGACTGTCACAAATCATCCTGGGGTCAGGGCTGTGTTCAAGCCGCTTCTGTTGGCTGTTGGAGACCAAAAGAGCTGGGATATCTACCCATGGCTTGTATATACTGTATGCAGGTTCCACAGCTGCACTTCCACAGTCCCCAGGGGTGATTGCTGAGGTGAACTGCTGCAGGCAGCACTGCTGGCACACAGAGGGGGTTCTGGGATGAAGGACAGGGCTGTAGTTGTTACTCTCTCTGGAGAACTCTGGTTCTGCTGAGTTTCCTGTAGTTCCCATTCTCAGGTTGAGTGTAACCCTTCTCTGGCTTAGAGGAAGTGCCAGCGGCAGTGTCAGGGCAAAGGAGAGTGACAGTTGTGACACAGGCAGTGGTGTCATCACATCAGGATGTAGCCCCAGGCAGGTGGGCACTGCAGAGCTTCCTCAGTGCCCCCCTGTTCCTGGCAGGAGATGCCTGGAACACCCTAAAGCTGCTGCCTTGTGATGGAATTCTAGAGCAAGTGCAGCTTATGCAATTTCAGAATCACATGGGTAAATTTTAAAACCCATGCACAAGCACTAACCTTTTGTTTAAATTGGTTGTTCAAAGCTTTTATGTGATGGAGAAATATATTTTTCAAGAAAGCATTTCATTTAGATTCCCATTAGTGTAACTTTACTCCTTCTGCTTGTTAAACACATGAAAAGAGGGAGCTAACCAGAGTATAAAAATCTTGTATGTGCTCTTTCTCTGGTTCTAGGAGAACTGTTTCTTAATGTAATTTTCCTGCTTACAATATATGGCCTTGCAAAGTGTTGAAGCAACAAAACTTGAGAGAGATTAAGAAACATACAAAGGCATTTTACTCTGTATATGTAAGATAAAGTCTGAAAGTTTGGGCAGATCTCAGTCTGGCAGAGTTTCTATCTCTTAGGTCATACAGAGAAAGCTTTTGGCAGTGGCTTTTTGGCAAAAAGCTTTGTCTGGAAACATATTTAGTCAGCATATGAAATGTGATAGCCCTGGTAGCACGGCTGTGTCTGCAGGCACTAATAGAGTTAGGCTTCAGCCCCATCTGCTGTTGGATCAGGATTGCTCTGTTGCTTTGCCAGCGCAGGCCAGCCCTTGCCAAAACACAGAGCAGGACGTGAGGAGACTGACAAACCCCTCGTGGTGTCACTCTGCTCATGATGCTGTGTTTGCCACGCTGATGAAAGGCAGTGGTGCCCTGAGAGTTCCAGCACGGCCTCGCTGGTGCTGCTCCCAGCCCAGCTCTGCGGGGGCTGCAGCTGGACCTGCAGGGGCTCAGCCCTGCCCTCTCGGTGTGCCTGGGGCAGCAGCAGGGGTATCTGCACCCCAAGGCCTGTCAGGATAGAGCATTATTGATTCCCAGTGCCTGTGCTTACAGGAGTAGCAGTGGACACAGAGATCCTTTCCCCTCGGTGAAATGTCTCCGATAATTTGAGTTATGCAACAGTGACGAAGAGAACAGACTTGCGGATTTGGCTCAGAAGGCTTAAAATCTTCAGGCATTAATTCATGAAACTCTCAAATCCTGGATGCTCTGGTGGCTATGAAGCACAGCAGATTCATGTTTGATTTTTACTTAAGGCTGATTGTTTCAGGAAATAAAAAGATTCACTTTGAAAGGGATTTTCAGTTCTTCTTCAGGTGTTATTTCTGGAGGGGTTAGGTAGAAAAGCTACATGTGAAATAAATCAGGGACTAAAAATCCTTAGCTTTGTTTTGAGGATATCAGAATGGTTTATTGCCATTGTGGTAAGCAAAAGGAGAAAAAACAGTGACTTTCTAGAAAGATTTCCACTGTATTGTTAGCTGACTTTTCCAGGACATCAGAACAGCCTATCTGTTCAGCCAAAATATCTCTCCAGTTATCATTTGACTCTGATGAAAAAAGTGCTAAAATGGCAGAGTTTGGGATTGCTTGAACACATTTTCTCACTTAAGCTGAGCTTGTTCACATTCAAAGCTAGAACAAATTATCTCAATTGCATTTAGGAGAGTAAACATACTCATGCTCTTCTCTCTCATGTTTGAGTAGTTATGGTGAAAGCGTAATGTGTGGTAATCTTTGCGTTTATATCCTCTTCCTGCATTTGTTTTATTGGACAAAATTAAAGGTCAATGGTCCTGAACTAGTCAAGAGAATTACTCTAAATTCTCAGTCATTGCCATTTTTCCCTCCTTCTGCTTTAAGTAGCATAGGACTTAGCTGCCAAAGTTTTAATTCTTTATGTATGAGAAGAATGATAGTTGCAATTTGATTTTGCATTTCAGTTATATAGTTTTGTAAATGAAGACATCAGCAAAAGGCTACTTGCCCCTTCCACATTTTCCCTAGTGTGAAAAATATAATGATCAAGCAGATTTTCCCCCATTCTCATCCTCTCTGTGTTTTGTGCTCTTTCAGCATGATCACTGCTCCGGGAAGCGTCGGCGCTGGGTGAGCAGAGCCCATGGAGGAGACTCCTGCCATGCACTGAGGAGCAGGGCTTCAGACACAGGGCTCTGGGAAAATGTCTGCTTGCAACACTTTCACTGAGCACGTCTGGAAACCCGGTGAATGTAAGAACTGCTTCAAGCCCAAGAGCTTGCACCAGTTGCCCCCGGTGTCGGAGAAGAAGCCGCTCTCTCATGCCAACCTGAAAGCCAATGCGAGCCAGAGCAGCGGGCAGCGCCCGGGCAGGGGCAGCGGCAGCTTCCGCCCGCCCGTGGCCAAGAAGCCGACGATAGCGGTGAAACCCACCATGATGGTGGCAGAGGGGCTCTGCGGGGAGCTGGCCACGCTGGAGCAGTGCGAGAACAAACCCCTGCCCGTGGGCTGGAACCGCAACAAGGCGGTGCTGAGCAAAAAACCACTGAACAATAACAATGAGGAGGAGATCGAAGGTTACAGCCATGTTCCCAGGCCGTATGGCAGCAGCGAGGGCGTGGGGAAGGTGCCCAATAACAATAATAATGGGCTGACAGAAGTTCTGAAGGAGATTGCGGGTTTGGATACCACACCTCAGCTCGCTGGGAATGAAACAAACGCGAGAGAAACCTTCTTGGGAAGGATAAATAATTGTTACAAGAGATCCTTAGAAAGGAAGATCCCTCCGAGCTGCATGGTGGGTGGAATGAAGGACTCACAGAGTAAGCATGTTATTCTGAGTGGAAGCACTGAAGTCATAAGTAATGAAGGTGGACGTTTCTGTTATCCAGAGTTGTCTAGTGGGGATGAGAGTGAGGATGACACGTTTTTTGGCAGCATGCAGGAAGAGCACGAGAGCTGGGATGAAAGTGATGAAGAGTTGTTAGCAATGGAAATCCGCATGAGGGGCCAGCCTCGCTTTGCTAATTTCAGAGCTAACACCCTGTCTCCTGTTCCGTTCTGTGTTGACAAAAAATGGAATACTGTGCCCCTTCGGAACAAGTCTCTGCAGCGGATCTGTGCCGTGGACTATGACGACAGTTATGATGAAATTTTAAATGGTTATGGGGAAGAGACTGTGATTCTTTATGGGCAAGAGAGCATGCAGAGCATGGCATCTTCTGATTCTACATCTCCTGATTCTTCTTTGACAGAAGAGTCTCGTTCTGGGACAACCAGCAGTTCTTCCCAGAAGCTCTGTAATGGAGGGTTATCTCCTAGCACTCCTCAGGAACTCAAAGTGATTGAACCAGAATATGAAAGTCTTTGTGACAATCAACAAGTGAAGGACGTGCCAAAAGCACCCAGAACTGCTCTGAAAAGTCCGGAAACTCACAAGGCAGTCCTTGCGCTTCGCCTGGAGGAGAAGGATGGCAAAATTGCTGTGCAGACTGATATGCAGGAGAATAAAAGTTCTTCAGATGTTGCTGGTCAAGCTGTGACTATTAATTTGGTGCCTGTGGAGGAGCAAGCTAAACCTTACAGGGTGGTGAACATGGAACAGCCAGTGTGCAAGCCATACACCGTAGTGGATGTATCAGCTGCCATGAGCAGTGAATGTAAAGAGAACCAGACTGAAACCTCAGAAACCAAAAAGGCATCATCTAACCCAAGCTCACCAGTAACCCCAGGCACACCTATTGCATCCTCTGCAGCATCACCTGTACGTGTACACGCCAACCTGAAAAAATCCAGCGCAATCAGATACCAGGAAGTGTGGACTTCCAGCACTAGTCCAAGACAGAAGATACCTAAGGTGGAACTGATTGGAAACGGCTCAGGACCTTCCGTTCCTCCCAGGAAGACAAGCCACAAGTCAGCTCCTACTTCACCTACAGCTACAAACGTTTCTTCGAAAACCATCCCGGTTAAGTCTCCCAATTTGTCTGAGATAAAATTCAACAGTTACAACAATGCTGGCATGCCACCTTTCCCTATTATCATTCATGATGAGCCCACTTATGCTAAGAGCTCCAAAAATGCTATTAAAGTTCCCATTGTAATCAATCCAAATGCGTATGATAACTTGGCAATCTATAAAAGTTTTCTAGGGACAACTGGGGAGCTGTCTGTCAAAGATAAAACTACAAGTGTGATAAGCCATACCTATGAAGAAATAGAAACTGAAAGTAAAGGCACTGAAGCCATAGGCAGCAAATCCACTGAGTTGCCCCAAGCAAAGGGGGCAGCCAGTAGCCCTGAGTGCAGGCTGGGCTCTGTGGCTCAGAAGGTCCAAGAGTTCAACAGCTGCCTCAGTAAAAGCCAGATATCCCCGCAGAGAAGTCACAGTGCTGACCACAGCTCCCCCTCCAGAGTTCAAAAGGCAATGCAAGAGCCTGCGGCAAAGGCAGACGTGACCCCGGAGGGTTCTGTCGGCAGCAGCAGTGGCAGAGAGAACGCGAGCACGGTGCTCTCACAGATTGTGGCCTCTATCCAGCCTCCACAGTCTCCTCCAGAGACACCTCAGTCTGCTCCCAAGTCCTGCAGCGTAGAAGAACTGTATTCCTTACCCCCTGAGGGAGATGCTGGTAAAAACACCCTGGTACGACCCAAATCTCTGTTTACATCGCAGCCTGAAGTGGAGTCCTCCAAGATGGAAAGCACTGCCATTAAAGTGCAGAAGGATCCGCTGTCACAGCCAGCTGCCACTCCCTCTCCAAAGGCAGCGCGAGCCACCCCGGGCGCCACCAGTCCCCAGGCAGAGCAGGCCCCGCCATTCCCCCCTCCACGCTCCACCTCCTCTCCCTACCATGCCAGTAACCTGCTGCAGAGGCATTTCAGCAACTGGGCCAAGCCCAACAGCCCCCCCAGGTCCACAGAAGCCGAGTCCATCCTGCACTCGGAGGGCCGGCGCCCCGACGCCAAACCCAAGCGCTGGATCTCGTTCAAGAGCTTCTTCCGCCGCAGGAAAGCCGACGATGAGGAGGAGAGGGAGAAGGACAGGGAGAAGGGGAAGCTGGTGGGTCTGGATGGAACTGTGATCCACATGCTGCCCCCGCCCCCGGTGCAGCGGCACCACTGGTTCAGCGAGGCCAAGTCGGAGTCGAGCGAGAAGCCCTCGATCGTGTTCATGTACAGGTGTGACCCCGCACAGACCGAGCCCCGGGCTGAGCTCCCAGCCCAGCCTGGCCTGGACTCTGCCATCGCAGAGGCACTGGCCAAGGACAAGGGGGAAACACAGGAAAAGCCTCCAGAGAGCTCAGAACAAAGCACAGCCAGCCACTCCTCACCACCTCAGGCTGCCAAGAAAATCCCCAGGTACCACTCAGCTGTTTTAGTCACTTACTCTGTTGTGAGCTGTCCTGTATATGCTGTGAAAAGGGACACACTAAGGAGTTTTATTACATTAATGCCATTTTTTCAAAGTATATTTATTTTAGGTAACTTAGAGGGTATTTTAAAATCTTTCTGCTATGTTAGATACCAGAAAAGATGTAAAACATTTACTAGAAGCAGTACCTGATATCTAGAGTTTGTCTTGCAGGCTCACTCATGTGTCACAATAGTCATATTTCATTGGATCAGATCCATTCTCTTGAATTTCTGCTTTAAGAAATGTTTCTGTGTTATGGGAAACTTGAGAATTTCTCAGCAGAAATAGGAGGCTACTATTGAGAGGTACAATAGAAATGAAAAGATCTGTGACTCATGGAAGCTGTTGTGCTAACTTTACCTCACATGCCCAAGAATTCAACAGATGCTAATTAATAACACTGCAGCATCACTGCAGCACCCTCAAAATGAACCTTGTAAAAAGGTAGTAACAGAATTAGGCTATCTACAAAATTGTGTTATGTCTGTCTTGTAAGGCCTTTAGCAGTGACTGTGCTTTGTCCCCTGGCATAGTATTAGATCCAGCAAGAGCTGGTCACATCAGTTGCAGTCAGTCATGTGGGCAGAGTAGAATTCCCTGAGTGCTGGACCGCAGCTGTGGATGTGTTAGACTTTGTCTTCCAGTGTTATTACACAAACCAATTCTAAAGTAGCCTCAAACTTGAATTATTTATTTCATTATAACAAAACCAAAAATTTTGTGAACTATGAGCCCCAGAAAATGTATCATGACAGTGTTTTTTGGTTTTCTTTCTCTGTATTCTGTACAAGAAAACTGCAGTGGTTTTTAGGTAAAACCAGTTTTAACCTAATAGAAATCTCTGTGTGAGCATAGTTAAAGCTTACCATAAACTGACTGCCACTTATCCTAAAGCAAAATCACTTGGTTTTCTTCCTCCATAGAAGTGCCAGAATAGTGCAGTCTCTAGATTTGCCCTAAATGGATTGGTGAGAAGTAGCTGCCTTTAGAGGCCAAGTTAAAGGATTGCAGGAGATTGTTCCTTTACAGGAACCTGGTTTCTCTCTCCTGTCTCTGGGCCAAGCCAGGGAAAGTGAGGTTGATTTTGGTTCCAGTGCCATCAGGAGCTTGCCTTGCCCCAGCTCTCAGTGCCCTGCTCGTGTGCTCTGGTGAGCCAGGGCTGAGATCCAGGAGAGAAGGAGCTTGGCAGTCACTGCTCAGGCACAGCAGCTGGCTGATGGGAGGGCATGGGCAGGAGGCAGCAGCTGCCTCTGGGTGGTGAGAGGAGCAGCCTGCCAGGGATCCTGGCACTGCCCTGGAGATGGTGCTGTTGGGATGTGTCCTGTTCTCCTCCTGCCCTTCCTCTTGGAGGCAGTGGGTCACTGATCTCTCATTCACTCATTCCAAAAAGCATGTTTACTCCAGTTTTCTTCAGGTCCACAAGGATGTTGGTCAAAATCATATCTCAGAATTTTCCCCAGTGAAAACTGGAATTTCCCAAATGTTAGAGTTGGAATTTCTTCTTTCTGACAATATTGTTCCCTGGTTTCTACAAATTTCGAAGAAAGTACACTGAGGTGCTGAGTTGTGGGAGCACTGGGCAGTGGGTAGCTTTATGCTTCAGTTCTTATATTCTTGGTGCCTTGAGTTATTTAGGGTTTTTTAATACATTTTAATGTTGTTAATGACACCAAGTGAAGCCTTATAATGCCACATAATGAAGGGTTTTATTGTTGTTTAAGGGGTTTGGCTTTCGCTTTTAATATCCTGGTGGGTGAGAATCAGGATTTCTAAATGCCATTTTTGCTCAAGCAGGAGGCATAACCCATGAGAAGCTTTGCTTGTTTTGTGTTAACCCTCCAGGTATTAGTAGAAGGTTAGCTGTAATTCAGGCTAAAATATGTGCATGAAAAAGATGTTTAGAATGTTCAGTTAAGCCTGCAGAGGCTTAGAGGAGAATGGATGACCTGAAGATAGCCATCAGTGAACAGGACACTTCCCTAACTCAGAACACCAAGAACAGCAAGCTCTCTGAAAAAACAAACTGATGCCCTGGAAAATAAGATAAGCTTTAAAAATGTCAGATTACTGGGGGGTCTTGAAAGCAAATTTAATGAAGATCCAGTATTTCCTTACTTTGCAATGGATTACAGAGCTGCTAAAGATTGATAACACAACTACAAAACAGCTGAAGGTATTTCAAGCCATCACTAGAAAGGTCAGTTTTCCCTTTGAACAGCACTTGCAAAACTGTCAGTTTTTCAGAAAGCTGAAAATGATCTCTCATACAAAGGAACTTGGTTTGGATTTGTCAGGGTGGTTGTTTCTGTTTGATGGCAGGATGCTGGTTCAAAAGAAGCTTGCAAATAATGATATAATAAATTTACTGAAATTTGTAGATAGATAATTTTTTGCTAAAAATCAGCAGTCATGCCATTTTTCTTATTAATTAGAACGAGAACACCTTTAGTTCATGAGCCAGCAGTTGTTCTCAGGTGCAAAACCTAAAACTGACCAAAGATACCATGGTGTTTCTGGCCTGAGTCACTGTAATTGATGGAGGTGGGACAGCACAGCTGCAATCCACTCATCACAGGCTGAACAAAAAGATCCTTCAAAGGCTTTGTTATCTTATGGATCAGAGTGTTCCTATTGGAGTTTCACAAGGTAAAGGCTTCTCTCCTTCATTGAGACATCACTGCTCATACCCAGCAGCAACTTGTTAGATTGAGACATTTCCTCAAAGCAAAGTGCAGCCCAGTCCTGCTGCTGCCTTGGCTGTTCTCAGAAAGCACATCAGAGCTGAACTAATCTGAGCTGGGCATAGCCATCTCCATTGCAGTTACAGGCTCAACTCAGGAGTTTCCTCTCACAGCTGCAAGTCAGCCATAACTTTCCTTTATGGAATCTTTGGGCCAGTCTTGGATGAAGTGAAGGTAAAACTCTGTTTTTCCTGAAATACTTCCTTCAGGTAGTGAGGTCTGTATGTGATTTTGTTCTGGTTCAGATAAGGAAGCATTTCTTCATAGCTAAATTTGTGATCACCAATCTAATTCCTAAGATTGTGTTAATTTTTGCAAAGGGATTTGATCTCATAACTGATAGATCTGAGCTCTGTACAGAGGAGTATGAGTGTTGTGACAGATCACTCAGTGGAAACAATGGGAATCACTGTTCTACAACAATGTAGCCATACATTAAGATGAGGATTTCATCCAGAGACAGGCAGGAATAACCACCACTGCCACATTCAACTTTCACACTGTGTCTGATCCAGTCCTGCAGATTCCACAGCTGCTTCAGAAACTGCTTGGGAAGATAAGAAAATCTGTGAAATCACAGTAGGGCTCTGTTTAAAACAAAGTCCTTCCCTGTTGGGAGGGCTTCTGGTGTAACTCTTAGGGTAAGGGTCTCACATGAACCCAGAACCTTTTAGGTACAGCCCAAGTAAATTGATGAGCATTTTCAAGGATGTTATAGATGAAAAGAAATTCCTTGCTTGAGCAAGTCTACTGAAATGGGAGAAATTCTCCCTGAAAATTTAAGGTGGATCAGCTCTTCCTTCTTGTCAAATCCATGTGAGGGCTTTTCTTATCTTGGTGTCAGCAAGCTTTATCTACCTTACTGAGCCGTGCTTAGCTGTGCTTTTAAAAGTATTAACTAGCTTTCTTCAACCATTTCAGAAATTAAAAACTTGTGAGGTTTTTCTCTAGAACATTTTCCAATTCTAACACAATTGGAAATTCTGCATGTGCATTAAGCAATAAGTTTGGTAACATCATAAGTTTGGTTTTATGTGAGAACTTCTAAACACCAAGGACTGTTAAAGATCCAAGTAGAAGGGACTTTACCATTTATTATTTTATAAATTTAGATTAAGAAATGGAAAATCATGTATTGTTCTTAACTCCTCTAATACAGTCTGTAAAATGGAAAGACTGAGAACCTAAAATGGATAAAGAAAAATATCTTCTTTATAATGCACAGTTAATCTGTGCAAGTCATTACCATTAAGTTTCAGTGACACTAAAGAGCTTAGCAGGATGTCTTTACTGGATTATCGAGTGTACTCCCTTTATCCGTGCAAACATCGCATTATACAAGATCTAAAAAAAAAACATTCTCAAGCTTCAGGACTAAGCCAGCTTCTCAAGAATCAGAATTAAGAATGAACTTTCATGGCTTAGTAGTTTCAGATTGTCATTTGAGAAGTTTGTGTCACTTTCCTCTTCAGTGACTATTGGTGGCGGTGAGGAGGGACTGAGCTGCAGGAGCCACTGGGATGTTTTGTGTATCCTCAGTGCCCTGTGACTGACTGAGACCTGGGCACTGCCTGCCTGTGCCCAGTGCTCTGCAGGAACAGAGTGGGCAGTGGTCTCAGAAGTTCTGGGTAGGGTGGCCTCTGACCTCCCTCCAGCCATTCACCTCTGCATTTTCCCTCAAGCATCATTCAGTCAGTTTAGGCATTATGTTTGCTTTATTAGCTTAAAAGTGCAGGGCCTGAGGGCATCTCAAAGCGCTCTCTTTGAAACTAATATAGCTACAAATTACACAGTTGGGTTTTTGTGTGTGCAAAGCAAAGTCCTCTTCCTTGTCATCTCCAATTGTACAGCTGCCATTGATGGCTGCTGTGCTGATGTCCACTCAGGGAGGAGATCAGAGTCTGTGCTGGCCCCAAGGCCACATCTGCTTCTCTCTGTCTCTGTCACTAATTCCTGCCACTGGGATTTATGTGCTGTCTTGTACAGAGCTGTGTTCCCTCACCTTTACCTCTGGATCTGACCCTATTTCAGGATACACTCTCACAATCACTTCTTATGAACGTTCCACTTTATCTCCCTCGTATTCATTGCTGTTTATTAATCTCCCTAATTGAGCAGGCGTGCTCTGAATAGAGGAGAACACAGGTCACACAAGAGCTGTGGTTCCAGTGTCCTCACCAAAATTAACACCCTACACAGGCAGCTTTCTGCATCCTGCTGTTCCCAAAAGACTGAGGCGAGTTAGACCACATCATCTTCTGCCTGGCCTCCAAAATCCATGCAGGAGGAGAGCCTGAAGGAAAGAGAGGCATTTGTCCCTGCAGAAAAATAACACTTTTAAGACGGTTTTGAGCATGTGCACACGTGAATGACAAGTATATGAATTCAGTGGGGTGTTGTCTGAAGGACAGTCATTTTTATGGCAAGTTTTTTTGCTTCACATAATCTCAGCTACTTAGGAAAACAGACACATTTTCTGCATGCAGAGGACTGCTTCCTCCACTAACTGAACAGTTGTTTAGCTTCAGCCACTTGTGCCTGAGGAGCAGAGTTCTCTAAGATAATTAATTTCTGTGAAGTTAGTTCCTGAAATAAAAAAGAGGAGAGAAAAAAACTTGGACAGAGGAGGCTGCGCCCACTGTGCTAGATGCTAAATATGTGCTCTTATGCAAGGCATCAAAGAATCCATCCTGGCAAAATATCTATAAATATCCCAAATAAGGAGATAGCTGTAAGTATGACTTGTTACCAGTAAGCAGATAGAAAGTTACACTAAATCAGGTTCTAATGGTTCTAATCTGAGAGAACTGCCTGTTTATCAGCTGCTCATCTTTCCTCAAAAAACCAGCTATTTTAACTGTTTAGTTCATGAAGCAGCTGGGGATGTGGTTCTTGGAGCTCCCTGAGTGAGGATGGTTCCCCTTTTACTCCTGCTGTGTCCTGCCAGCACCACCGAAGGGCTGACATTTGCACTGTGTACACAAGCTTGATCTCTCTGTTCTCAGCGTTAAGATACTGGGAAGCATTTCCCCATGGATTTCATGACCTGACCTCTAATTGCTGTGGTTTAAAATGTATTCTTTTGAGGCCCTGAATACAGATTTGAGATACTCTCTAACTCTTAACAATAGGTTAGTGTCACTTGCTGAAGCTCCCGATGAGAGCTGAGCCGTGCTTTTCCCGGAGCAGTGGCATGAGTGAGGCCATAGCCCATTCCAGAGCAGTGATGCAGCCGAGCCCTGGCCCTGCAGGGAGGCAGGGCAGGAGTTAAGGAGGCAGGGCTGCTGTGCTGGCTCTGGCAGGGCCCAGCCCCCGAAGGTAAACACTAAGGTGCAGTAGGTGTATCACTCTGTGCAGAGTTCAGCCCTCTTGCTCACAGCTTGCACAACTTGTAGCACACCAGAACACTGTGGAATCAATGGCTCGCCAGAGTTTCAAGACATGATTAAAAGACTCAAGAAGGCCCTGAAAGAATTTCCTTTAATGGGGAATTGTGTGAGTGAGTACAGTGGGTGAGTTGGTATTTTTTTTTTCTTTCTTCCTTTCTAGCTGTTGGTTTACTTTGGCAAAATGCTTCTGAACTTAGGTTTAGTGTATGTGCATGCATGTGTCTGGTTTGGAGAATGAGTATGTTCTTACCTCACCAAGTGATACTAAAAAGTTACTTTGAGATGTGATAATTCCTGGTTTGTGGCAATGACAGAACTGTGAAGCTATTAGAACCTATTTCTTCTTAAAGAAAACATTCCTGTTGAGGAATGCAGGTATGTACATTATTTACAGCAACTACAAGCCTTCAGTTCAATTATCCTGAGAGCCTTGTTACTGCTTTAATTTTATGTCTGCTTTACTCTGAAATTACTGAGGTTAACTCTTTAATGTGGATATATTTATGGCACATGGAATGTTCTTCACACCATTCCTATGCATGGTACTAAAATGGAACAAAAACTGGTACGCTGATTAAAGATTACATCTTTTTGAACTGACGCCATTTTTTCTCTTTTACTAACAAGTTCTAATGAGTTTGGTTTGTGTCAGCCTGCAGTTAAAATTCATGAGTCTGAGCAGAAACAGCATGTGCTCATTGCACTGTCCTGGGTCTTGTCATGCAGAGCATTGGCATGTTGGAACCTTTTACTGGGGATTGCTACGAGATTGTGTCCCAGGATTTTCAGGGGTTTGGCTTTGCCGTAGACAAATACCTATAATTTATTGTGTTAACTCTTTGTGGAAGTTTGAAATCCTTATCACCAAAAATAAGTATCTCTGCAGATACATGATGTGCTGATTGTTTCTTGATGGAAGTGTCTTACTCCTGTCCCTAATGGAAGTCACAAGTAGTTCAAATTCTTCCTGTTGTATTTGATCAGGCTGTAGTAATGAGAGCTAGCAAACAGCACATATGCTCTTGAGATTTGGCCTGTAATGAGTATTTGTTCCTGCAAGTGAGAGAACATAAAGGCATGGAAATATTTTTGCTCTGACATGTTTTTGTGCCATATTATTGATAATTGCTGTTATATTTTCAGTATGATTGTGGGGTTTTATTAAATCTCGACTTTTTTCATGCATATAATGCATCATTTTTAAATTATACTGCAATAAATATATCCATGGAAACCAAGTAAATGCACAATTTTCAGAGTTCTGTGCTGTAAGTCATCACAGTGTGATTAAAACTTCACAGCTAAGAGCAGGCACAGAGGAATGTCTTCAGTGCCTTCTGCAGTTGGCCTAATGCAGATGGATTTTAATGGTGGAGAATTTTATATGGGAAAGAGATTACTGGCCTAAATGAGGTCTGTTTCCCAGAGTGTCAGTTCCCAAAATCCTACCAGGATATGAAACTGTATCATTGAAGTTTTATGCATTTATTGGGACTTAATCCTACTTCCTATGCCCTGTTATATTTGTTTGAGGCACAATTGCTTGCACTGGCAAAAAGCACCCTAAACTCTGCTGCTGTCCTGAGTCCCACTCACTTTACCCAGAATCATGCCTGCACATTTATGAGTATGGATGTTGATGGTAGTCAAGTTGTAAAACATGTTATTGTAGCTTTTATATCGAAGGCATGAACTCTTACATGCTATATATTATTATAATCACGATAATAGTAACTAACATGTTACTATTTCAATCACGAGTTGTTCCTTCTCACTAAGGAAAAGAAAAACTGTAGATACTTAGGAAAGGAGGGTGCAAGAACTTTGCAAGAACTTCCTCGTTTCCCAGCTCAGCCCGTGGGTCCCGCAGTGTGCCCGGCTGGCAGCGCAGGTGACGCTGTGCTGTCTGTTTCAGTCAGGTGCCCGAGGAGCCGGCCCTGGAGGAGCTGTCCCCGCGTGTCCCCAGGGCGGTGTTTGTGAAGCAGGACAATGGGGGCAGCGCCTCCGTCATCCCCGCCTCAGCCTCCCGCGGCGCCCCGGGCCCGGAGGAGAAGGAAGCAGCTCCAAACTCTCCTGATCTGAGCACCTGCAGCGCTACCTACAGCAACCTAGGTGAGTGCACAGGAACCGCATCACATTTTGGAGGCCTTTTCAGTGTGTGAAGAGCCTTTTCTTCTGAGCAGCTCAATGCATCTTCATGAGGGTAGCTTTTAACTGCTTAATATTGATTTACAGCAGATAAAGATATATAGTCTCATTCAGAGGTCATAACCAAGAAAGTGAAGATTCAACAAACTCAAAGGTTTGTTTTCCTGTAATTTGAAACAGTCTTTTAATTGCTCTTAGTGATGAATATCTCAGATGATTTTTAAAATCAACATTGTTTTATCTCTTTGGAGGAATTTTTGTTAAAGAGGTTTAAAATGCAGAGCAAGTTACCTAATTTCTTTAGAAGGAATAAATAAAATTCAGTATTTTTCTAAACTACATCAAAAGATAGGGCTTTTTATTTTAGAGCATCAATAACTGCTAAAATATTTGTACCCATCTCTTGTTGGCTGAAACTGTCCTTATCCTGGTCAGAGAGTTCACTTTTGGTCCTTCCCAATGAGATACAAATGTCCTGAAGGTGCTACTCAAAGATTATCAAGAGATTCATGGATGCAGGGCTTCTCTGAAAGATAAGGGAGCAAGATAGAGCAGCATCTCCCAGTGGACAGTATCAATATTATCAGCCTGATTTTCTAAAGCATTTTGATTTGCAGCACTGTGAATTCAGGGATACCTGCAGCCAGGTTTTCTAGAACAACAAAATCTCTCATTTATTTACATTCCAGGATATCCCAATACATGTTTTTTGAACATCCCAATCCTGTACACGGCAACTTATTAAGCATTTGCCAAGAGTAAAGTGATTGTGTGTAGAGATGGCTCACAAGTACAGGGAGTTTGGCATGTCCACACAGGTTTCAGGGATCAAGGATTAAACTTTAAACCCTCAGGTGCCCACATTCCTTAGACATTCAGTGAAAGTGTTGCATTTTTTTACTTAAATGTGAATTAGTGGCCAGCTTATTAGTGCACTCTGCTATTAAAACATTAATTAGGTATTGTTTATAAAGCATAAGGAGGAAAAATATCCTATCCAAGTGTGATGGTAACGTCTACCAAGAAATTCCTCCTCTGAGGAGGAAAACTAAAATCTGTATCTTTATGGTGAATTACTCATAGACCTAAGAATTATTTTCAATTTAGTGAGGTATGTATCTGTATCTATATTTGCTGTATTTAGAAGACAGGGACATTGCAGGCAGAATCCAGGCAGTTGAGGTCTGGCTGCATCAGAACTGCCTGTACCATGTTTATCCTGTGCAGCAAAATACCATCAACACTGGAACAGCTTGCTCAGAGGAGTTTTGGAATCTCTGCCTGTGGAGATATTCACAAGTTCCAGCCCAACTGGAGAGGATCTGCACAACCTGCTCCAGCTGACCCTGCCTGCCTGTCCCAAGAGATCCCTTCCATCAGTCCTGGCCTGTATTAATGCTGTTCCTAAGTTCGAATGTTTCTTTTTAAAGCCATAAAAAAGTCAACCCCTTAGCAATTTATTCAAAACCTTCTCCTCACCGTGGGTTCACTTGGAGCTGTGCTGTCTCCAAAGTACCTTTGGTGTGAAAGGGTTAATTAGCTGTGGGGCTTGCCTGGCTCTGGCTGGGAGAGCTGCCTGCTGCTAGGAGCAATGCTTCCCTAAATGGCACTGAGCTCCCTGGCTGCCCTTCAAAGGCTTCCTGCTTTATTCAGCCAGCCTCACTCTCCAGTTCAGATGGCAGCAGAGAGATTTCTAGGTAGGGACAGAGAATAATCCCTACTTGTTTTCACATCTTGCATCACCTGGGCAGCAAAACCTTATCTTTTGTAGAATTAACAAATACTGGTATGTGAAACTGGAAGAAAGGATAATATGAGAAGTTACATCACATTTGACTCTTGCCTCAGCTGCAGTTAGAGCTGCATGCTGCAGTTTGGAGTTTGTAAAATGCGTCACGTGCACATGTCAATTTGCAGCATAATGCACAAGGTTCACCTTTTAAACTGATCTGATACATATTCTGTGGTTTTTATTAAAAAGCAGATAATATGTCTCTACTTTAATAAATGGCTAATCTTCAGTTCTGACACATCATGATGCCTTAGCACTCATGAAGTGTCATGAACAGAAATAATTGCAAGCCTTGGTGGATTTTCATCTGCAGTCAGGTAACAGTTTATGTCAGGTACTGCCCTCAAATATATTTGGTTTGGCCTTCCAAGAGACAAACCTTACAAAACAGAGGATTCTCCTCCAGGAGTCAGGTACAACATAAAAGAGTTGGAGCTTTTATGATGATAGGATAAGGTGTGTTCCTGGCTGTGGAAATAGAAGGAAACTTGAGTAGGAGGAGAGAGGTTCTTGACTGCCATGGTCACAGTCAGGCTCTGGTGCCCACAGTTTAAGAAGAATGTTTTACAAATTGCACAGGCTCTAAAGAAAAGCTTTGCAAATGCCTGGTATTGTGGCAAGCACTTCATAGGGACTAATTCAGAATCTGAATCCATTCAGCTTATCAAAGTAAGAGTCTGGCTTGATCATGGTGGGGGTGCTCATGTGGTGAGCAGAACTGCAATAGGGGGACCTGTGGTATCAACAATTTAACAAAATCCAGAGGCTGCCACTTGAATGAAGATGAAGAAACAAATGTTCAGATGTGTAAGGGAGGGCCTGGATGTTTCTTTTGTAAGGGGTTCTTTTATTGTTACAGAAGTTAATTCAGGTAAGCCCTGTAACTGATGATAAGGAAGACAAAGCCTTTCCTTTACAAATCTTTAAATTGTTCTGTCTTTGTCTGAATTTGTTGGGGAAATTGACTTGATTGAATTTGCATGGCTGTAAGTAGATTAAGGTATTCTCAGTATACTCAGGATAGTTTTTCTGCCATTGAAAAAAAATAGGTTATTTCATTATCAGCTGTTTTTCTCTTTACACCTAAAGATGGGGAAAAAAGGAGGCTGAGTTTCTAGCCTTTGTGACTGCTGACACTGAAAACAAATCCCAATCACAGTGTCTGCCATGGGGCATTGCCTCAGTCAGTCAGTTGGACCAGGGCAGAAAGCAGTGCTTTGGCCAGGCTGTAAATAAAGTAATGAGATCATTGTTGATGAAAACTGACAGTTCAGTGACAGACAGTGATTATAGCATCAGTCTGGTGCATTTTGTGTAGTGCATAATTAGCACAGGTAATGTCTGAGGTGGTGCAATGGAGGGTGGGCAGCAAGACCTGACAAGTCACCAAGCAAACAAAGTGAGATTCTCTTCCTGCATCTCCCAGGAGACCTGTGCCAGCCTCAGGTTACTGCTGAGACACTGCACATGCACCACCAATGTTGCTTAACAAATGTTAGCTTCCATTTCTCTAACATCTATCATCATTCTGGTAAGATTTTAACTATTCAATGAACACTACATGTGTAAACAGTGGAGGATTTAGTGCAAATCTGTACAGGACAGGTTCATAGCAGGGTGGCGTGCATGCACAGCAATTATTTGAGCTGGGGCTGTGAGGCATACTGGTAGCTTTTGCTGTGGCATTTGTGGGTTTGTTTCATGGTTTGGTTATTTTTATCAGCCAGGATAAGTGTTTATTAAGGAGTGATGTCAGATTTGATAGTTTCAGCAGCTAACATAAATAGGCTGCAATGCAAAGTCTGATGATAAAGCAGTTACCCAGAAAAATTAAACTTAAATGCCTTTCTCAGATGTCTTTCAGAGTTTCAGAACTCTGCATGGTGTCTGGAGACTTAAGCATTAATATTTAAATAGTGTATTGAGATTCTATAATGGAAGATCTTTTTGAGCTGCAGAATTATTTAAAGCTCTCTAGAAATCTGCTGTCTGTAAAGAGTTAAATTTTTTTCTGTCATTGAGCAGTCTGGAATCCACTTCAAAGATCTCTCCAAGTGGTAGCCTAATATTGTCCCTGTTCTTCCTTTTCATTTTGCCTCCCAAGAGTGTGGCTCAGGCTGAACTTGCAGTGTTGCAGAGTCTGTGCAGTAGGTAAGGAAATGAGGAGTTAAAGCATGCAAGGGGAGAAGGAAAGGATAGGCAAGAAAAAGAAATTAATGCTCTGCTGGTATTTCTATGCAAAAGGACATTTTTGTGCCTTTGACAGGGACAACATTTAAGACAATATTTTTCTTGCTGGGCAATGATTTTATAAAAATTGGCCCTGTAGTTTCCTGCCATGCTTGGGGAAAGCTGAGCTGGAGACTGGCCCAAGAGCTATGAAAGAAATGTACAGTGCTGGAACTCAGCACAGAAACAGTGCAGACATGAAACTTTTCAACTGGATAATACAGATGGTTAGATTTCAATATGGAAAACTTGTTCTTGTGGGAAGAAACCACACTGTAACATAGCATTTTATACAAACTCATTTTTTCTCAGCTGAGAGTACTTGAAACAGTAACTACAGAATGACTTGTACATTCAGTTCTCTGGAACCTGCCACCCCCTCCAGACATCTGAAAAAACAACTTCTGGTTATGAAAACCTTCTCCAATTCTGTTTGGATGTCACAGTGCCAGTAGCTGTGCAAAAGCAGCCATGGTTGCAGTCCCAACACTCTCCTCTGTGTGAGTGACTTTTGGAGGACAAGTCATTACAGCAGACAGAAAACAAGAGAATGGGAGCAGTAACACTCATAAATCTTACCTTTCCTGGAGAGAGCTGCTGCTGCTGCTGCTGCTCAGGATGTGCATCTGGCTCTGATTTGTTTCCCTGTTTCCTTCTAGCAGCTGTGCATCCTTGGGTTAGCAAGTCCCAAAGCAAGGCCCCTTAGCAGAGTGCCTCCTGAGCAGTGTCTGTAAAACCCAGCAGCCAGGCTGTCCCAGCAGAGTGGGGAGGAGAAAACAGGCAAGTGCTCGTTAGCACAGAGTGTTGCTGGGGAGAAGTACATAGGTCACAGATTTTGTAAGACTGAGCAGTTGTGGAAGAGGACACATGTTTGCATGAGTAAGAGAATTGGGTATCAAGTAGAAATGAAGTTGTCTCAGGATTAAGCAAAAGGCATCTGGATGTGTGTCTGGCACACAGACATCAATTCTGCTTTTGGCTTGGACTCATCCCACACTTCACCTCTGCAAAAGGAACTTCAGGACAGAGCTCCTGTAGTGCCCAGCTGGCAGCAGCATTCAGTGCTGCAGCACAGCAAACACTCACTGCAATACAAAGGAGCAGTCGGGTTCCCCCAGCCCTCCAAGGGTTACATTTTTGTCAGCAACCTTTACAATGATTTGCAGTCTTCCCTGAATATCAGGTATGTACAAAACTGATAGAATTTCCTGCTCAAAACTTGGTTTTTTTAAACATTGGAACAGCCAGACTTATATTAAATCCATAAGGCTTTTCTGAGGGTTTCTGGAGCTTAAAGAAAAGATGGGGATAGAACTTTCATTTGAGATGCTGTCTCCTTGGAGTGACTGACAAGAGAACAATTGCTAAGAAAGGGTGTAAGGCTGTTTTGTTTGTGGATACATATAGAAATATGATCCTCTCTGATTTTCTGAAATTAGGAGGTGTATTTCAGCATTTTGTCCCATCATTGCAGGGTTTGGTACATCCTGGCCATGTGGATTTTGGATTCTGTAGTGTTCATAAAAACTGTAACAACCTACCTTAACAAGCAGAGGAAGCTAATATTTCTTTTTGCAAACTGCAAAGTCATTAATTATTAATTATGGATTGAAGTGTTGTAATTTAGATCTGAATCTTAGATCCCCCTAGTCTTCCAGTTTAGTCCTCTCTTTACAAGGATTTTGTGGGCTTGGCAGTGTTAGGTTAACAGCTGGACTGTGATCTTAGAGAGCTTTTCAGCCAAAATGATTTTATGATTCAGCACATTATATTCAAATAGTTATAGTGTCTGTTCCCTTACTAGAAAAGATGCTCAGCTGCAGTTATTCAGAGCATCCCTTTCAGGTCTGCTGTTTTCAACCATCAGAGCTGGCTTCCTACCTTACCATGACAGTGAGTGAACCTCCCAGGAGAACCAGAAAACTTATAATTTCTCTGAAAGTAGCAGTTAATTGGAAGGATCTCAAATTGATATGAGTAACAACAGTTTAATTGTCCCAGAGCAGTGAGCTGGTCTTTTGTATTTTGTGCTTATTAGTTTTTATTCTCCATTATATTATTGTTATTTATTTATTCTGCATTTCCAAAGACTCTGGCACTTATGAAACATAAATGTCCTTGATAAAAGCCATCCACAACACATGACAGGAAGTTTATCTTCCCTGGATTCACACAAATGTCTGAAACTAGAAAATCCCAGCCTGTGTGTACATACTTGCCATTTGGGATCTCTTGAATAAAGCCAGGTCTGATTATCTCTGAATGTAACATTGCCAGCAAAAGTACCTGTGGCAAAGGGAGGGCACAACAGTTTTGATTGCAGGGTAGAAACTATTTCTGTCAAATTATGATCCTGCTCTTGATGGCAACACACTTGTCAACTTGAGTGAAAGTTAGCTTGACTTCCTTGATTTCACTGTGTGAATCTGCTGGGGCAATCCTGACTGCCTGATGTGACCTCCAGAGTATCTAAACTGTTATTTTTGTCTGGCAGTTTCTGGATTTTATTCTGAAATAGGATTTTCAGCCTGTCTAGTGCATTTCCCAATTGTTTTATGGACTGTTATCCACCCTTAGTTTTAGCACATTTGAATAGAAAATAAGAAATAATATTACAGTCAGTTGACTGCAGAGGAAATTATAGGACACTGGGTGTAATTGCTGAAACTGGACTTGGCCAAAGTGTCAAATGGAGGTTTGGTTTTGCTTGCAGTTCTTGTCATTGGTCTGCTGGATGTAAAATGGCAGCTCTGCTAGCACTGAAGGTGATTTCAAAATATATGCCAAGGTGAAATCAAGACTGGCTGGATGTAATTAGATATATATGATGCTGATTTGGTCATTGACTTGCTAATTAGTTTATCTTTTCATGTATGTATCTAGAGGTTTTTGAAATGTTGGGGGAGGGGGCAGGTCCTAGTCAGGGTTTTGGGATTTTTTTTGCCTTAAACTTCTTTTCAGAGTGCAAACAAGAGCAGCACATATGAAGTACTATAATCTTCTCTCACTATTACCTTATTCCACAGGGCAGTCCCGAGCAGCTATGATCCCTCCAAAACAGCCCAGGCAACCCAAAGGAGCTTTGGATGATGCCATTGCCTTTGGAGGGCTGGCAGACCAGGAGACGGTGAACAACTTGCAGCCAACACCACCTCCACTGCCAAAGAAAACAATTCTGAGAGCGAACACAGAGCCAACTCCCCGAGACCTCCAGAAGCAGGCTCTGGAGAACAACCTGTGCATCATGGCCAACCCCACCTATGACATTGACACCAACTGGGAAGCGAGCAGCGCCTGCTCCTCGGTCAGCCTGGAGCTCAAGGTCCTGGACAACGAGTCGGGAGATTCCCTGGACAGGCCCTCAGAGAAGCTGAGAGCAGGCGCCTCGGCCACGAGCAGCGTTTCCAGCCTGGCCACGGGCAGCATCAAGGAGCGCTGCTCCACCAGCATGGAGTCGCTGAGCGGGCGGCGCCTGCCGCAGGCCAGGCAGGGCCGGGGCGTGCAGAAGCCGCAGAGACAGGCGCTGTACCGGGGCATCGAGAACAGGGATGAGGTGGTGGGCAAGATCCGCGGCCTGCACGCCGACTCGCTCAAGAAGCTGGCACTGAAGTGCGAGGATCTGTTCATGGCGGGCCAGAAGGACCAGCTGCGCTTCGGCGTGGACAGCTGGTCGGATTTCCGCCTCACCAGCGACAAGCCCTGCTGCGAGGCGGGCGATGCCGTCTACTACCCTGCCTCCTACGCCAAGGACCCCCTCAACAACTACGCCGTCAAGGTAGGGAGATTGGAGTAATGCTGACCCATTGTCAGGGTAGGGGGGCTGCAGAAACGCTAACCCACCGTCAGGGTAGAGGGGCTGGAGTGTTGGGGAAGATGAAACAGGAAAGCCTTATAAATATGATTGCCTGGCAAAAGGTTTTGAGAGTATGGAAACTATAAGCGAGATTGAAATGAAAGATTTGAGATCCCTTAGTTACTGAACAACTGGAAAACAATGGTGTGGCCAGCTGAAGGTAATCTCCTTTTGATGGAACAACACCCTCTGCAAGCAGGCAGGTCCAAGGGTCCAGCGGACCCTGCCAGCTTGGCAGAAGGGGTCCAGAGAGGAGTTTTTAGGGTTTAAAATGTAACACAGTATGGTAATGTAGTGATTCTTATAGGCTGTATGTAAATCATATAGGATCTCTATATTGTACTGAATTGGTTAGTGAGAATCAGAATATTCAACACAGAAGATGATTTATTGTATTGTAGTGGGAACTTCACCCTCTTGCCTCTTACCCCTTCTACTCTCTTACCCCTTTTACTCTCTTATGCTTTTGCTCTCTTGCCTCTCTTACTCTCTTACCCTCTCTACCCCTCTCTTGGGCTGCTCCAGCTGTGGCTGGAGCTCCCAGCAGGGCCCTGCACCCAGGCCCTTTGCAAAAAACCCCAAGTTCCACAACCTGGCTGCAGAGATCTCTGTCTCTGTCCGTCCCGATGGTGCTACCCCCCAACACTCCTACACTGGAACAATGCTAACCCACTGTCAGGGTAGAGGGGCTGGAGCAATGCTAACCCCAGGCATCAGTGGCAAACTGTGACAGCAGCCATTCTCTGCTCCACATCCCATAGTGATAGGGCTGCTGCTGGCAGAGGTGAGAAGGAAGGTTCCCAAGATACAGGCTCTTCCTTCAGTCCACACCCATCTGTGCCATTGGTACCTGCTGTTTAATTGCATGTTTTTGTTGCAGCTCCAAAATGACTGAAAGAGAAATCAACACTTCTTAGTCTTTACGGTGGTCACTGCTTAATGACATTTTGAAAGAAAAGCTGTGCTCTTTTAACATGTGTCAGTGGTTTTTTGGAAACTCACAATAACAAAATCCTTTGATTCACCTGCATGCAGAGGAAATTAAATCATCACTCCTAGTTAGGAAAGGTTTCCTACAAAATTGAAAAGTTCTCCATTTTCAGAGCCATGTAATTTTAAATGTAAATTCTAGGGCAATAGACCTTTCTGTTCCCATATAGGGTCTTAGATTTTCACCAGTGCTCATTACCAGCCTTTCAGAAGCTCTGCCTAGCCATCAGTGTTTGCCTTATAAATTCTTCAGCTAACACATTAAAGAAATAAGATTTACTAGATTTACTGCTAATATATGAGTGCCTAGCTGGCAGCTATCTCACAAGATATTGTTATTTCATGGGCTTTTATATAGGTAGTTCTTTCTGAGTGCTGTAACTCTGCATTTCTCATTGCTTATCTGGTAGGAAGATAGTGAGGAGGACAGCTGAGACTCATAGCACTGTCAGGCTTCCTGTGTGACCTTGAGTAAATCACTGAACTTCTGACTCCTCCTTGTTGAAACTGAGATAAAACATTTATTGCCTGACCCAGATGTGTGAGGCCTGAGCTGTTATTCCTTTTATTTTACATACTCACAAGGGTGGTGCTTTACAGGAACTAAACATTGTTACCACTCCTGCATGACTGTTTACAAGTAAGATATAAAAAACTGAATGAAAGGTAAGATTGGTGCAGCTAATATTTTTCTGAGACCTGAAGAGGTATCTTTTAATGCAGATATCTGAGTCTAACCATTTCTATTGTGTTAATTATTAAGGACTTCTTATTGGAAAAGATGTGAAATGAAATGTAGCTGTGTTGGAGCTGCCATGAGCAGTGGTACAGAGCAGGCAAGGAGAGGCAGCCCATGAGCCTGCCTGCAGTCAGCTGTGCTTCAGAATCAGCACTGGCATTGCTCATGGCTGGTTTGGAGGGTTTTGCTTTAATACAATGATGCAAAATGATTCCTTCTAGGGCCCAAAGTGGTAATTTTCTCCATTGGCAGGTTTGAGTTATCACTAATGTGATATCTCTTTGCACATCACAGATGTGCCTGTACAATATTCCCTGTGTCATTGGTCTGTTATCTCCTGTCCTCCACAATACATTTCCCTTGTAGAAAGCCAGAGAGAAGAAAGAAAGCAGGGTAACATGGTCAAATAGGTGCTAGATTTTTTTTCATAATTCAGATTTCTTAAAAATAGTTCTCTGACCAACAAGGGCTATTGCCTGGTAATAGATATGAGTGAAGTATGCACAAAATATCCTTGAGGCAGAGGTCACCAGGAGCTGTTGTGCTGTTAGGATGAGAGGAAAAGTTCCTCCTGCAAATACCCCCCTGGCACTTACTGTGCTACAGGAAGGTGTTGGCCCCAAGCTGATCTTTGACTTATAAGCCATCAGTCCAGGATCAGATTTGTCCAAAAGCTCATAACCACAGATTGCTGTTTCATTACACAGAGATTTGGGGAATTTAGCTTTAACAAATATGCTAGTTTTTACTACCATGGGTGTATTTTGTGTGAGCCAAATTACAATAATCTACCTTCAACAAATAACCTATGTCTTCCTGCCACTTTAAATCCCTTATCCCCAAAACAGGGTGGAAAAAGCAGTGAAATGAAAATTGCTGGTGTGCCAATTGAATCCAAAACAGTCTTCCTGTTATTTTGGATCAAGTCTTAGAAATACTCTTTGAAAGTGGAGCCACATCTCTGGATGATGTAAATTAATGTAGCTCTTTTGAGTTTTACAGAACTACCCAAGCAACACTGCCTAACAATTCAGACAGTTCCCAAATTTTATGATTTTAATATTAGATCTGAGAAACAATGTCATAATGAGATTTTAAAAATTATTATTCTCTTTGTAGAAAATCAGAGATTCACCCCCAAACAGTGCTAATACTCTTGATACCTAAAATTTGCATTTTAATATTCTATTTCCAAAAATACAGTTACAAAAGCATTGTTAAAAATTCAGCTGTGACCATTTAACTACTGCTGAATTAAATTTAGAACAATGAATGATTTGTAGAGGTGAATGTACCAGTGCACTTCTCCATTCTGGTGGTTTCACCAGTAAAAGATGCTCTGATAAATTTGGTGGAGAACGAGCACAACTTGTTCTGTTGGGGTGGATATGAGAGGAAACATTCACAGGGGGGTGTTGTTTCCCAGCACTTTATTTTGCTTTTTGCTTCAACTCTCACCTAATCTGCTAGTAAACACCCAGTGCAAAAATAGCTGCAGGAAGCCATGTGGAAATTATTTTGACTGAAACATTAGAAATAAAACCAGTACATAAGTCATGATCAGAAAAGTAGTTTTTCAAATGGAAAAATAAAAGTTCCCTTTCAAGAAAGGTTTCCATAAAATTCCAGCCCCTGAGGTGTTTTTCTTTCACCTAAGTGCAGTACCACCTTCTAAGTTGTTGGTAGATCTGGGGCAATATGGATGAACATTCCCCTGAAACCACAGTCTTATCAGTAATTCCAAATATGTGGTGAAAAGGTTGCACCAAAGTAAAAGCAGCACAGAGCACCAGCAGACTGGATGAGTTCTGTTCTCAGTGTCCTGACATGAATTGAATCAGGCACTGATGTGGTAGGGACATCTTTTATTAAAAGATAAATAAATAAGTTAGATTACTCAGAAGGAATAACAGACACTATGAGTACTGTGTCAGTGCCATAAACAGGTTCCACTTTCAGAATTAAACTCTCAAAGCAGACCTGTCCAGTGTCACAGCTGACTCACAGAAGCCATGATTCAGAGTGCAGACAGAACAACAGCCATAAAAGCCAGCTGGCTCTGGCCACAGCACGTGTGGCAGTGCTGCTCAGGTGGGTAACAGCAGCTGCAGGGGTGCAGACAGCTCACAAGGAGCAGTTCAGATTTATTGCTTTGATTGCTGCAGGGCAGCAGAAGTTGTAGCAGTAAAACCTGAGGGTTCCTGGTAATGTTTGTGTTTGTGTCCCAGGTATAGAACACAGGAATGCAGAAGTAAGCAGCACTGGGCTGAATTGGCTGGCAGGTTCATACTGCAGCTGACAATTACTTCCCAGTCATGTGTAGTTTGTCACAGTGTGCTAAGGTGGTTTTATTTGGTAATTCAGGTTCCTGGTGGAGCTTCCTGTCAGAAGGATTGTTAAAGGCTGTCCCAGAACTCTGTGCTTCAGATCAAAACAAAGCAATGTACGTTCAACTTCCAGCCCATTCCCAGTTCAGTCGCAGCAAAACAGAATTCTGTGTTTTGGCACATCATTAAAAAGTCAAAGCTCTATTCCAAGGCCAGATCAAGAAAATGAGGTCAATCAGAGATCAAACTGGCCTCCTTGGAAAACAAGGTTGTGCCAAGAACAAGCTATCAATTTGGGATTAGCAAGCTTTCATTCTACACAGAATTTCATTTGCAGTTGTCCCTCTGTGCAATACAACAAAGTGGCACAGATGGTGCAGTCTTTGTGATCTTCTGTGTTTCTCATTTTCAGTGCTTGTAAATTCATTTCCCACAATCCTGGTGGTGCTGTGAGTTCACTGCTGCTGTGTGAAATGCACGGGACAGAGTGGGAATGAGCTTCCCTGCTGGGGAAGGGAGAGGCAGCTGATGGCACTGTGAGCCACAGCACTCATAAAGGAAGAAGAAAGGTAACACAGAACATTTTGTAGAAGCTCTGAAATGTTCAAATCCTGCTTCTTGGGCTGGGAGCACTGAGGAAAACTGAAATGGCAGGGTATAAAGAAACCTGTCCTGTCCCTATAAACATGACAGATGTTTAGTTCATGTGGATGCAATAAGGAAAAGATCCATGATGACAATGCATTCCAGTGAAAAGGAAGTTGGATACTTTGCATTCCTTCCTACTTGTACTCTCCTTTTTTCTCATTGCTTTCTTGCGTCATATGGAAGGGTTTTTCATCAACATTGCTTCATCTTTTGAGCAACCAGCTCTTTATCAGCTCATGAAATAAGGCTGGCCAAGCCCTTATCAACACCTTCCTTTCAGCTGTTATCACATACCATATCTTCATAGCTCAGCTGGATGTATTTCATTAAAGCAAGTAGCAAATGACTCATTGATCCTACTTTCTGTGTTAGTGTTTTAGTCAAAGTATTTTCACCTTTTCTTCCTGGGCCAAAAAACAGGTATTCAGCATGATCTACATGTAAAAGGCAACAGGATTTCCATCTTTTTGAGCAGATGACTGGAACAGAAAAAAGCTTTAAAAATGCAAAGGAAAATAGGCTATATATTTTTTCCCAGCTTTGACACAGAATTAACCATCACAAGCAGAAAAGCAGCTCTGTGTGCACTCCTTTAGCAATTCATCACCAGCAGCTGAAAATACTTGCTAGGGAGGTCAATAAATTTCACTTTTTTTTCCCTAATTTTTTTCAAATGTGAATACTGACTCCAATTCAGACCATTTTGAAAGTTTAAAGTCTTTGTCATTCAGATGGTAGTTTTAGGTGATAGTGGAGTTATTCCAGTACAAAAGGCTTGGGTGAGAATAATTACCCATTGATGGGCAGTATTTACTGTTCTATTGCAAAATCATAATATAAAGTAGACTTCTGAGTAGAACCTGCAATGTAAAAGAATCTGAATAGTGCAATGCCAAACCCCAAGACTTACCTGAAGAGAAGCCAGACACTTACAGGAGCATCAGATAACTGCAGGTCTGTCTTCTAGAAACTGCTTTACGAATTCAGACAGGTGTCTGATTTGTTATCACTCTGAGTTTGGGTGCTGCCTGCAGAAAGCCCAGCTTGCCAGCTTTCCCTTCCTCCTGACAATTGAAGGGTGCCCAGTGTACAGATTTTAGTGTTTGTGTAGTCAGCAGTTTAATCAGCCTGAAATAACCCAGCTGCCTCTTCCACTTCTCACTTCATGGTGTTTGTAAACAAAAAGCAAGAAGCAGAAAATACATCTCAAATCAGATCTCAGCTCTCCTGTCTTTGTAGATACTGAATGCAGGTTCATGTACCCATCTACTTCTCTGTACTAAACAAGAGGGCTGGAAGTGTCCAAAAGCCATCACTGTTGGTCATTTGTGGGATTTGAGATTTTTTCCCTATGTTGGTTGGATTCCTTAACAGCACAATAAGAAGGGAAATTCTCTTTTAATGAATGCAGTCATTTTAGTATCAGTTTTAATCATTATTCTGTTTAGTATTTCATGTCTGGTTTGTTGATAACTTAAATTCTGTTTTATTGCTATAGAGAGGAGTCTGAAGCAAGACCTCATGAAATTTAAGAAATTATTTTGGGGAAAGTTTGGCCCTGCTGTGGCTCCCTGCTTTAGAGTGGACAGTGCTCTGAATGTTTTCAAGAACACATGGAGTTAGTAATGTAACTTATTCTCCCTGCAGAATGTTCTTGGACACTTGGACACAATGATCCTGCAAAGAGGATCATTGGACACAAAGCTTTGTTCTGTGAATGCTGGAGCTGCAATTCTGAATTCATTATAGGTACCACTCTTCAGAAAGATCTCATACATGGGGAGAATGCAGAAAGAGCAACACAAATCAGAGGATTAGGAACAAAGATAGGAGAAGTAAGGGCTGGGTATTTTCAAAAATAAGCAAAGATGGGGAAAGTTATATTTTCCCCAGTTGAAAAGGTATAAAACTTAAGGATGGGAATCAGGAATCAATTTTTAGCCAATCAGCAAGGAGAAGGGCTGTCACTTACTTGTGAAGTTGATATAGGATTGAATAGTGGAAAGCAAAATAGAGAAGATAGAGAACTGCTTTGGGGTGGGTTTAGTAGGCTGGAGAGGTCATCTCAGGGATGACCAGACAGAGGAGACTGACCTTGCAGGCCCCTGGCTCAGGAAAAGCCCCCTCTGCACAAACAGCTGGATGCCTTTGGATGCAGATGTGCATGGCCAGCCATTTCTGAAAGAGAAGAAAGCAGCACCACATCCATAAAGCATGGATCCAAGTGTGCTTCTGTACTCTCACAGGTCTGGGATTGGCCATGCTTACTAAAATGAGGGAACCAAAGCTGATTTTGAGAGGTGCAGATCCTATCTCCAACTTTAACTGAAGCAGTAGTAAATCTGAGAGCATTCTCTGAAGTAGGAAAAAGAGGCTGCCTAGGGCTAAAATTAGAAACTAGGTGAAAGTCTTGATTCCTTTGCTTTTCTTTTCTTGTTGGCAAGGAAAAATCCTTTCCAAAAACTTTTAAAATAGCCTTATATCCACCAAACTGAGATGTGTATATTGTTTTCAGAGCACATACTTTGTGGATTATATATTCCTAGCAGAATATCAGTTTTAGCTGACTGGTGGCACTAGAAATCCTCTGTGGATTAAGAAATTGAGTGTAGTAGCTAAAGCCAAGTGTGGTTCTCAACGTTTTTTATCAGCAAGTAAACTTGACTTTAAAATTAAACTCTTTCAGAATGAGGTTTTTTGTTGGTTTTTTCTTATTAGGTCACTTAAGTATTTTTTAAAACTAAAGGCTGAATTACAACATGTTGAACCTTTTCTGCAGTTGGAATTGAGTATTCCCATGGCTGGCTGTGCAAGAAAAACGCCATGGACTTGAAGGGCATAGAAGATGGAACAATTTTGTTTTCCTTAATAGCTCTTCTCCCACTCAGATTTGATACACACCATGTGTGTACATTCAACACATATATATGAGTGAGTCTGTACAGCTTTTCTAGTTCTGGCTTCTGTGCAGTATTAAGTATTTAATCCATCTGGGGACTTCAGTCTCAAAGACAATCAGCTAGCATTTTCTTTTTCTATATAATTCAAAGGTTACTGCTATATTTTTGCCTCTATAACCCTTGAGAGTAGAGACTGGGGGCACACATACCACTGAGAACTCACTTCACCTTTAACAGGGTAAAATACATTTGAAAACTTAAGTGAGCAAAAGCCAGTCTATAAACAGGGTAAGGATCAACATTTCCTCTCATAAATAAAATAAAATTGACTAGAAAATGGATTTTTCAAATCAGTTTTGTGGGTTTGTGGCAGTTACAAACAGGCAGTTTTAGTGTACATAATGAGTAGGGGAATGTGAATGCTTGTGAAGTATGGCAATATGCAGAGTCTCAAAGATAAGAGGACAATCAGAATGTTGGTACAAATTTTGTCTGAGTTCCTGTGGTTATCTGACAATGCAGTTTTCTGATCAACTACCATAAAGGATTAAATCTTGAATTTATATTTCTTAACCACACAAGCATGTAAAGTATGAAAAATTTATGTGTGTGTTACTGAAAGACAGGTTTATAACTTAGCTGCAGAAGTTCTGAAAGGGGGAAAATGAGAAACAGGAAGAAAAATCACCTAATGCTTCCATTTGGGGCTGGGATGAGATCTGGGTTTCCTGGTGGTGGTGACTGTGTAGAACAAGTGCTGACCTTGGTATCTGGCTTTCCTTGGTTCCAGAGATGAGCTAAGGGAAGCTGTAGCTTCATCTGGAGAGAAGTGACTTCCTCTTTTTTTCTTCTCTGAGTTTTGCACTTAAAACCTGTTGGTGCATTACAGCAAGTGAATATTTAGACTCTAATCATGTAAAAGATCAAAACATACACCTAACCTTACATGCTGTGAATGATCTCTCTGAATTTAGTAGAACTAAGGTTAATATGCAAAGGTCAAGACAGCTGAGTCTTTGTAATTTTAATCAGTTAATGCCTTAGAAACAGAGGCACTAGTGGGGCTTGTCCAGTGACTTTTGTCAGAGGTTGGAGCTGCCAGTTGTTATGGGAGTGCAAACAATTCATAAGGATAATTACTATGTTGATAATGTATATATCAATAAGATAGTTTTGGACATAAATACAGTATATATGGCAAAAAAGCAAACCATATTTTGGATCTTGATAATTGGTTGAAAGCAAGTAAGGTACCATGTTGTACTGATTGTCCATTCATCACCTGAGCCAAGTCTGCCTGGCAGCAGCCTGTGCATGCACACATGCACCCCTCAGTGCAGACACACTGCACTGCTGCAGCTCATGGATTTCAGTTCCACTTACCATGGGCAAGGAGCAAACATCAGTCACCCAGCTGACAGGGCCTGACTTGTTATGCCATGCTCACTCAGCCATGTGCAAGTGTTTGGTCAAATACTTTATGCATATTTCTTTGTATCCCCTATTGCTATTGATTCTTTTTGTCTTGTTCAAGCTTCACACAAAGCTGAGAGAACTTGGAATAAAATGATACAGGTAAACAAGTAACTGTAAAAAAGCTTTGCTGTGCATTTACCATGTATCAGCTGCTGTTCTGATTAAAAACCAGAATTGTATTTTGCATTGGATCATCTGTGCAGAGGGAGAGATGCCTGCATGTATTGTTCTGCAGTTGCTTACTAGCCAGTGAGAGCTGTTTGGGTGCCTTAAGACAGTCTGCCAAGGTCAGTTCATTAAAAAAATGTTCATTGCTCTTGTTTAGGCCTAGACTGGAGATCCCATTAGCAAAGTACATATTAAAAAATATATATAGAATTTAGGAATTAAAGAATGATGTCTGTTGTGTTTGTTTCCCCCAGATCTGTAAGAGCAAGGCCAAGGAGTCCCAGCAGTATTACCACAGCCTGTCCATCCGGCAGAGCCTGGCTATCAACTTCAACATCCAGCAGGACTGCGGCCATTTCCTGGCCGAGGTTCCCATGCGCCTCCTTCCCTGGGAGGACGACGACGCAGCGGACGTGGAAGAAGAGCGGGAAGAAGAGGAGAAAGAGGCTGAGCAGAAGAGCAAGGACAGCGCCTGCAGCCCAGAGGGCTCGTGCAGGGACAGCCCCAGCAGGCAGGGCACCCTGAGCAAGCCGCGCAGCCGCGTGGTGGTGATCACGCGCGAGGTGCCGCAGCTCACCGTGGCCGACTTCGTGCGCGACTCCGCGGCCCGGCACAGCAAGAGCCCCGACCTGTACGAGAGACAGGTGTGCCTGCTGCTCCTGCAGCTGTGCCTGGGCCTGGAGCACCTGAAGCCCTACCACATCACCCACTGTGACCTGCGCCTGGAGAACCTGCTGCTGGTTCACTCCAGGCCGGGAGGCAGCCCCCTGAGCCCCGAGGCCACGGAGCCCAATCCCAACACCGCCTGCCCGGCCAGATTAATTGTGAGCAACTTCTCGCAGGCCAAGCAGAAGAGTCACATGGTGGACCCTGAGGTCCTGCGGGATCAGTCCCGCCTGGCGCCAGAAATCATCACTGCAACGCAGTACAAGAAGTGTGATGAGTTCCAGACTGGCATCCTCATCTATGAAATGCTGCACTTACCCAACCCCTTTGATGAGAATCCAGAGCTGAAAGAGAAGGAGTACACTTGTGCCGATCTCCCCAAGATTCCTTGCCGTTCCCTCTACTCGCAAGGGCTTCAACAACTTGCCAGCTGCCTGCTGAATCCCAACCCTTCGGAGAGGATCTTGATATCAGAAGCCAAAGGAATCCTTCAGTGTCTGCTTTGGGGCCCACGTGAGGACTTGTTCCATGCTCTCAGTACATCTTCCAACCCCTCACGGAGAGACGCCATACTTCAGAACTGGCTCGATATAAAAAGGACGCTGCTGATGATCAAGTTTGCAGAGAAGTCCTTGGAGAGGGACTGTGGAATTATTCTGGAAGACTGGCTTTGTTGTCAGTATCTGGCTTTTGCCACTACAGACTCACTTCATCGCATTGTGAGACTCATGAAGCAGCACTAGTTGTAGAGCCTGTTGCTTTTCGTGAAGCATCCCCACCTCTGCCCAGCCCTCACTCCAGCCTGCACTAGGGCTCACACTTTGTACAGTGGTTACCCAACAGCCTAGACAATGAAGCCAGCAACTCTGAGCAAATAGGTTCTAATTGGAGAAATTGCATCCTGTACCAAGTATGACAGAAACTTTACTTTTTTGCCAGGCCTGCTAGGGATTGATCATGTACACAACTGCATTTGGATCAGACAGTATGTAACTTGATTCATATCTGGCTGAAAAGGAGAGCAAGCTTTGATACCACTATTTCTACCACTACAGTAAACAAATTGCCCTCCTCTTCTGGGTAGTTTCTGTCATTTCCTACATAGCATTGATTAGTGAATAGCAGTGACCATAAGCAGAGATGGATTAGTGGTGAATGTGAGATGAATTATCCACCATGCCACAGAACACTCGTTTGCTTTCACTCCACGTACCACACATTTCCTCTCAGTTTAGTCAGTCCCCCACAGCAGGCTGTGCTCCTCTTTCCTTTGGTCTCAACCAAACAGGTTCTGATCTTTCTCTTACACTTTACACTACCTGTATTTTCCTCCCCAGATGTGGTTTTCCCACTGAGCATGGCAAGTGTCAGTGAGCAGTAAGCACCTGTGTTCAGTCCTCTTCCCTCCTCCTCTGCCTCATTGCCTACCCATATCCTTTCTAACCATTCACAATTTCATCAATGCTGCCTTAATCACACCATTACCCTTAGCTTGAGACCTGTGCATTAAAAAGCAGCATATGCACACTTTATCTATCCTATTTCCTAGAAAACCTTCACCAGTCTGAACTGTTGATGTAATGTAGCCATAACCACATTTATACAAGAACAATACAACAATACATGGTGGACCCTTGAAATTCCCCTTCCATTGCAAAAAGCACTAAAGCCTGACTTGAAATGGATGGGACGTACATAACCTTCTCTGACAATCACTGCTATGAATCAGGGACAAAAATAAAAGCCACCTCTTCTGTTTTGGTTTGGTCTGCTCTTGTCACTTATGCCATACTGCAAAGTGAGACTGAAATTGGCTCTGCAGGTTTGTTGGCAGGAGATAGAAATGTTTAGAGCTTGTCTGTGTGTAGCTAACAGGCAACATGGAGATACTTGTACTGCAGACACAGTTCTACGAAGGGTAAGAACAAGGGTGCAAAAACACTGTTGTTTGATTATGGAGGGAGCTGTTAAGTTTGGCAGCCACAACCAACAGCATCATGATCCACATTTCCTGCAGCAGTGCTTGGCTGCCCATCTCTTGTCTGCTGAAACCAGTGTTTTCTCATGTTGCTATGGACAACTCCCTAAAAATGGAATGTTGTCAGAAGAGCTCAAAGAGCATCACAGACAAAGTTTTGGACTAGAGCAGGAATTAGTGAGGATTGAAGAGTCAGAATTTTTAAAACCTCAACTTGAAGGAGCTTTTTCACTTTTCAAGGCCACTGCTGACTTCCTTCTGTGCCCTAAGAGCCATTTCCCATGGAACCTCTGTACAGACAATATCTTTGCTCAGTATTGGTAGGCTAGGAGTTGTTTTCCAAGTTGCTCCGAAGAATGGATCTGGATGCAGAGGGAAAAGCAATCCTGAATATTGTGACCCGGGTGATGGAAAGCAGACGGCCGTAGTTATGAGCCTGTGCTTCTCTCCTATGGATCTATGTGCAATTCTTGTATTATTTTTTAAAGCTGTACATTACAGTGTTCACTTTACACACCAGCCTTTACCTGATGCTAGATCTGCAGCCCCTTCCTTTACTCTCCTGGCACATAAATGCACAGATATCCATGTGTTCTTTTTATGGATTGATGTTCCATTGTAATTGTTAAAACTGTGAGGAATCAATTCACTTCAGCCTTGAAACAAATAGCCACTTTATACAACATATGCATTCTTGGACCACATGCATGGAAGCTGAACAAACAGTCCTGCAGGCTCAAAGTCAGCGAGAGTAGCTCTGGATGCACGGCGTTCATCGAGGGCTGACGTGTCTGTGATTCTGCTCTGGCACCTCTCAGAGCTCAGCTCAATGGCCTGTGGAACCTACATTGATTGTGCCCTAGTATAGACTGTCTTCGTTACCTTTCTCAAGATTTTTTTGTAACTTCTGATTGTTCTTTTGTTTGATTCACCTGTATCAGTGAAGGATCAGGCAAGGATGAGGATAATATATTTTAATGTGATATGTATGTTTTTCTTTCTCTTTTTGGCAAGAAGGTTAGGATGGTGGCATTGATGCAGAAAAACAGGACAGTGCATTAAAAGCCCAAGTGCAATGTATGTAGTTGAAGTACTTCCTCTACATCAGGAAAGAAAGTTTCTGCACTACTGCTGAGCAGCTTGTAGAAGAACCTTTACAAAGAATCTCCTGTTCAGCCCTGCTTTATCTGGACACAGGAGGGCAATGCTCCCATAGTTCACATCCACCGAGCATGGCAAGTCACTTGTGTACTACCTGCTAGCTATTAGTGCCAGTGTGCTGAGCTGCCAGTGGGGCTTCTTGTTCTCTGTGATCTGGTTTTGTGTCTGTTCCGTGGTGTGTGTGTGCACCTGACTTCCCAGCTAGCTCACATAGGCATAGGAGTAACTCTTGGACCACCTGGCATTGCAGTGGGGCAGTCCCTGGATCCTCTGGGCGTTGCCATGTTTAGGGACACGTGTTCCCTCTGTCACTGTGATGTCAACACGCACATGCAGAGTTGGATTTTGAATGTTGTGCAAGCATAGGTATTGATGCAGCTGGTCCAAGGCCTTTGTATCTCTAGCTATCTAACTTCAGTTTATATCTTTTGTGATGCACCAGTACTCATTTTAGCTCTGCAGTATAACCAAGCATGGATAGATGTTCACTACCAACCTCTTTCTTGTGCAGCACTGGGTAAACTTTAGCAATTTGTAGTGTTGTGTGGTTTTTTTCTTTAAAAAAGAAAGAATGGCCAATGTAATCAGACCCTATGTGGCCTGAGTTCTTCCTTGAGGAGCTTGAGGCTGACTTTGCAGATCTGCCCATAACTGATGATTGCAACTGTGTTTGTGGTGGTTCTCCATCCTGGCACCAGATTGTGCCACATAAATACACAAGAATGTATGCATTAAACTGATTGTAAACAAATCCTAAGAATGCTACAGCATAATTGCTAAGCAAAAGGAAAAAAACCCGCTCTGTTTGTAACAGGATCCTGTGTATGGCAGGAACAAAACCCCTGGCTGTGCATGTTAGAACGTACTTGAATATGTGCACAGATCTTGAATTTTTTTTAGCAATGTCGCACTTTCAGTTGAGCTCAAGAAATAGGAAGAGCTGCAAATCTAAGATAACAGTATTGACTGTAAATATATATTTTTCTATTAATAAAAGCTGTCATTCAAATATTTTTAACATGAACTCTAAAGATTTTTCCAGTGGAAACTGGAAAATTTCTGGAAAAATCAAATGCTTATTTGAAGAATTATGATGAGTGGTTTCTGATCCTTTTAGAGCCATTTAAACCCTCTCTAATATTACAGAGAGAGCACAGTGATTGGATTCACAATATTTAGTGCCTTGTCAAAAACCTGAAATGTAGCTGGTCAGTGGGTGGAAATCTTATTCTTTTCATAACAGCCCTAGAAATAATACTGCCCATGTAAAGATGCAAAGGACTTACAAAATTAAATGCTGTACTTTGTATGATACTGGGTTGACCTATCCCATAAGATTTGTGTGAACGGGTTCCTTTAAGTTGCTTGTAGTACAGCATAAACCTGAAGTAACAAAACTGTGGTGTTTCACATTTGGGATCTGGAACAGGGAAAATACCAGTGGATGCCAAGGCAGCTGTGGCAGCCTGACCAGGCACAGGAGAAGCCTCTTGCTCTGACAATCTCTGCAGCCACTCGGTGCTGTGCTGGCCAGGGGGGCTGGCTGGGGGCAGCAGGGAGAGGGGAATGTGCTGCTCCTGCTGCACTGCACCCTGGGCTGTGCTGGGAAATGCAAACCTCTGTTCCAACAGGAGTGCTGCAAGAACTGCTCCTGAGGTGATATGGAAAGTGGGTTCGTTTTGTATTTCTTAAATGGGAATTACTTCTTACTAATTGTCTGTCAAGCCTCAGATCTGATCCAGTCAATATGCATAACCAGGTGAATTTAAAGAGACTCTACTGGTAAAAGCTTGCCTATAAATTTGTAGGAATGAGGGAATCCAGAATTTTCTTCTGGAGCCCCTGGAATGTCCAAATACAGAAGCCTGGTCTCATTTCAGTGTTCACACTGATGAAATCAGTAACTCCAGCCAGGATACCATTGCTGCCCCACAGAGAAGAGTGCAGGTAGCATTTACAAAAATGTTCCACCTTAGATCTTTTATGCTCCACACATCCTACCCACAAAGTATGAATGGATCATCTTGATGTGTTAATACAAGAGAATTCCTACATATTATAGAGAAAAATATATTATTTAAATAAAATATGTGCGTTAGGGTTCAGCTACGTGCAGAATGTATTCAGTAGCTTCATACTGTAGGTCCTTAATTTTAATGTGTATTTGCTGCTGAAATAAAATGTGTCTGGTTCTGAATTCTTGTGCTGAGATTCCCATCTAAATTAATTTCTTTTTTTTTTTTTTGTAATAACAAATCCTTATGTAAATATAAAATAAATGATCCTGTTTTTATTTAAATCAGTTTTAAGTTTTCTGAGGGATACAATTGAAACTGAGTCAGACCTTTTAATGCACTTTCTTTTCCCCCTTTCTCTAAATTGATTGTTTCTCAGTACAACCAGGACTTTACTGCATAACTAGACTGTCAGTTTTACTCTGGTTTTGCAGAGGTGGTGCTGGTTCTGCTAAAACTCCTGTAAGACCTGGAGCACAATCAGAGCCCTCCAGCCAGCAAAAAGATGTGATTGTGATTTAGTTATGCAGTAAGATAACAACAAAGGAGTACAGAACAGAATTTTAAATACCTCTATAAAAATACACCTGTGGAAATATTCTGTAAACACTCATGTGGATTACAAAGACTTCAAGCAAAGAATACACACAAAAAATACTTTTCAAAACACTGGGGAGAAATTTCATAAGGGCACCCTTAACTCCAAAAGAAGGAGCAAGTCTTTTTCCCTGCTGTGCTGCAGAGAATTTCTGGTAGACATTTGTATGGATGTTCTTACTCACCTGGATGCAGTGTCAGAAGGATGGGGATTTTGAGTAGGTGTAGAATGTCATTTAAATCATTTCCTGTAAGTCTCCTTGCATTGGTGCTCCACCCAGAATTTACCTGGAAACCACAGAATGCTTTCAGATCAAGCAGAGTTGCCAGTGAGAAATGAAATACTCAACTTACCTGTACATAAGCATTTTACCACTCTACAGAATTTGAGAATTTGGTTTTTACTTCAGACTATACAGATTTTTTTCCATAAATTTAAGGGGAAGATTTCAGGGATTTAGAAGAGGTTGGACCTTTTTTTTTAATATGGAAGAAATATTTGTTCATAAATATATATATACATACATATATATATATATGAGTGCACGTGGGCATGTTTTAATATATATGTATGTATATGAATTTTTTATCCCGAAAGTATTCTTTGCCCCTTTTTGCTTGAAAAAATATATATATTATATATTGTATATATAATATATATTTTAAGAGTGTGTAAATTTTAATATAGTAATTTCATAAATAACACCTCTTCAAAAACTACTCTAAACTTCTGTTTCCTTGTCCTTTGGATTGTTGGTATT